ATCAGTCGGCAATTCCCGAGTCTCCCCCTCCCCCTCGCCGGGCATGCGCCCCACGATCGTGACGGACAACAACAGCTTCGTCGAGCCCTCTAGGGCGTCCTTTGTCGATACCGCCGACCGGCCGCCGGCCTTCAACGTCCGCGTCGATCCCAACGCCCCGCCCATGCGCTCCCAGTCTGCCGCCCCTTACCCCGTGGATGATCGGATGGCGCCCCCTCCGCGGGGTGCGCCGTATCCAGACGACGACGGCCGGCCTCGCCTCAACAACAACTACCCGCCGTCTCAGGGCCCTCCAGCAGACCGGCCCAGCAGTGCCTTCGGCATCAGGCCACAAGGACCCGGCGATGGGCCACGGCCGTTGCCCGGCTCCCAGTCAGCCGGCAATCTGTATGCCGGTGGACCACCGCCGGGTGCCGGTCGCGGTAGAGGCGGACCGCCTGGTCCTCACGGCCCCGGAGGCTACGGACCGCCAAACATGGGACCGCCAAACATGGGACCGCCAAACATGGGACCGGGAGGTGGACCGCCAGGCCAGGGACGCCCCTATCCGCCGGGGGACAGCCGGCCTGGCAGCGCCCACAGCGGGAACCGCATGCAGAACAGGCCGCCTCAAGGGTACGGTGGCGGGCCCGGAGGCCCAATGGGTGGCCCTCATGGAGGACCGGAACCTGGCGCTGGGCAGTTTTCTCCTCGGACATCATCGCGACCTGGGTCCGACGGCCCTGGTGGCCCCGGTGGCCCAGGAGGTCCTGGCGGTCCTGGCGGTGGCCATTATCCAGACAGGATGGGCTCTCTCGGCCAGCCAGGCGGACCACACCCAGGAAGAGTCCAAACTGGGGGACCTCCTCCAGGACATGGATCTCCAGGACCTCAGGGTCCCGGCGGTGGCCCTCGACCTGGACCCAACAGAGTTGGCACTGCTCCTCCGGGGCCTGCTCCTCAAGGCCCTGGCCCTCAGGGTCCTGGCATGCATAGCGCAAGTCCAGCACCGAGTGCCCCGGCGGCTGCACCGGCTGCGCCCAAGCCCAGCAAGGGCGGCAAGTCGGGACCTGCCACATTTGAAGACATGGGCATTCCGCAGGGCAAACAGGATGGTGATTGTGTGAGTAGACGCCAACTTGACGAGATGTATCCTATCAATTACACGGAAGAACTGACATTGAGATTTCCAGGTGATCATGTAAACGGTTATTACGTTTACGTGTCGTAGAGCACCGCTTGCACTCATTCAGAGAAAGGGAGAGAGAGAGAGGCCGGCCCTGGCATGCAAGTTTTCGGCACCGATGTACTCGATTTTACCGAGCAAGCAACACATTAGACGCCATCTACAGAGCGCATCTATTTTCTGCCTAGCGAGCCGCCTCGGATATGTCTCTCAATTGAAGTAGGCATCTATCTTGAACGCCTTTGGAAGCACCGTAGAGGAGGAGGAGAAGAAGAAGAAGAAGAAGAAGAAGAAGAAGAAGAAGCAATGATGGGCTGGGGAGCGGGAAGAGACTTGGTTGGAGTGATTTGAAAAGCCTAACTTTCTGGCGCTGGGTTTATACAATGTATTCTCTTGTTTCCATCTCTTCATTTTCTATATCCGCGTACTGTGTTTTCTTTTTTCAATACATATAAAAGTGATGCGTTACAGGCGGAAGAAGGGAGTAATGTCTTCTGCAACGAAGCCGTCGAGCGCAATGTTGTATATATAAAGCAAACTGTATCTTGTGTGTCTGAACCGAGCATGACTTGCCTCTGTCTTCTTATTCCCCTCTTCGTTGTCAGTGTCTGTCGTCTCGTTGCCGGGAGTTGTACCTAGTCACAGTCCTTGGTTCACATGTAGTCAGTCAGCTGGTCGCATTATCGATAGTCAGCACGCTCAAACCGTCGTCCACACGCGATTCCACCCCCGTCTTCCTTATCCTCACCTCAACTTACCTTACTCATACATCACCAGCCATCAATCACTACAACTACCCTCGACTGCTTCTTTCAGCTTAGGCCTCCAGCGCTGCATCGCTCCCCCATCCATCCGTCCAAAGCAACCAACATCAATGGCTCGGGTACTAGATCCGGCCCGAACCCCTCCTCGTCCCGCCTAACTAAACCCCACGATCCCGCGTCTTCTCTTCCCCACGAACTGACTACTATCGCGTTCTCTTATCTGCCTGGAGATACAAAAGTCCTGCTGAGGAGGGTGTTTGCCTTAGCATATCTTCCTTCTTCCTCTCTTGACTTGCTTGCGTGGCCCGCCCTCCCGGAATCCTGCAATGCAGCTGTCGATTGATAGCGGCAAGGGTTGACGGATAGTTTGTCTGCCTGCCGACGCTTTTGCCGCCTGTCTTGTGTTAGCGAGTGATTCAGCTTCGTGAGGGTGACACACAGCATTGGGGGCAAACATGTCTATATAATCGCCAGCATCCCACCTATTGATGGCTTGATTCTTTTCGGACTTTCGTTCGGTGTACGTATTCTTCTGGCTCGTGTCTTCTTTATCCTTTCCCCTTTGCCTTGCTCCTCATTTGTTTCCCTCTGGAAACGAGCGGTCCATCGACGACACGACTGACTGGCCCATTAGCATCGACGTATGGGACAAAGTCACTCGAAGCACCCGCCATGAAGCGCTGCTTCCGGCTCCTAGTGGCAGGATACTGCTCCGTGCTAGCCACGGCAGCAGCCAGTCCTTTCATCGAGCCCTCGTTCGACTGGGACTCCATCAGGCCCAGCGATGACCTCGAGTACCACGACTGCTACGGCGAGTACAAGTGTGCTCGCCTCCAGGTGCCCCTGGACTGGCTCAACAAGACGGACACGAGAGTAGCCACCATCGCCATGATCAAGCTGCCCGCCGTCGTGCCGGACGACGACCCGGCCTTTGGCGGCGCCATCTTCACCAACCCGGGAGGGCCCGGCGGCTCCGGCGTCGACTTCCTGCTGAGCATGGGCCGCTATCTTCGCTACACGGCCGACAAGCCGGGCCGTCGCCACTACGAGATCATCTCCTTCGACCCCCGCGGCATCGGCAGGACGGTTCCCGCTTCCGACTGCTTCGAGAACAATGTGCTGGCGCGGGACGCCTTCCTCCTGGAGAACCGCGGCAACGGCGCTCTCACCAATGGCGACGGCGTCATTGCCTACAGCCTCGCCATCATGGACGCCTTTGGCCAGCGGTGCCAGCAGGCCGGGGAGGACGCCATGGCCTTTGTCGGGACGCCCAACGTCGCCCGCGACATGGTCGAGATGGTCGACAAAGTGGACGAGCTGCGCAAAAGAGACGCCGCTGCTCGGAAGCGCAAGGGCGACGACGACGACTCCGATGCTCGAGCAGAGCTTAAGAAGCGTTCTGCTCCCAGGAGGAAACCGGCCGAGCTTCGCGACGAACCCGGCGATGTCCCGCGTCTCCAGTATATTGGCTTCTCTTACGGCACAGTCCTCGGCAACTACTTTGCTTCCATGTTCCCAGGTCGTGTCGGGCGTCTGATTCTCGACGGCGTGTGCAATATCCAGGACTATTCTTCTGGTCCAGTATGTTTCCTCTCTTTTCCCCTCAAAGATGAAAACTAGCATTCCCCCTAACATGTCCATTGGTTGTTAACCTTCTTTCTTCATTTAAAGGGCTGGCTCACAAACACCGTTGACTCAGACGAAATATTCGACAACTTCTTCGAAGGCTGCGCCGCCGCCGGTCCCGACGTATGCGCCCTGGCCCGCCCATCCGACACCCACGGGGCATCCGACATACGTTGCCGCTACGACAGCTTCCTCTCCGAACTCGACCAGAAACCAAAGTCGGTCCTGCTCGACTCGGGCGACGTCGTCGTCGTCACCAGCTGGGACGTCCTCATCCTCGCCGGCAAGGTGCTCTACAACCCCCTGTCCATGTTCAAGGTCCTCGCCCGCAAGCTCAACGAGTTCATCGCCGGCGACCTCACCCAGATGGCCGTCATGGCCGTCGGCCTCGGCATGGTGCCCGCCATGCAGGACGCCTGCCCCCTCGACCGCAGCAACGCCACCAAGCCCAGCATCATCATCGAGGCCCAGAACGCCGTCGTCTGCTCCGACGGCGACGACATCTCCGGCAAGGACCTCGCCTGGTGGCGCAAGTACGTCCGCAGCCAGCTCGACGTCTCCAACATCTTCGGCGCCACCTGGTCCACCATCCGCATGCCCTGCTCCGGCTGGCGCATCCGCCCCAACTGGAGCTTCAAGGGCCCCTTCACCACCCCCGACGCCGATGCCTCCCTCCAGTCCGGCCGCCCCGCGGCCCCCATCCTCTTCCTCTCCAACCGCCTCGACCCCGTCACCCCTCTCCGAGCCGCCCAGGCCATGGCCGCGCAACATCCTGGCGCTCGCGTCCTCATCCAGGAGGGCATGGGTCACTGCGCCGTGGCCTCTGCCCCCAGCAAGTGCACCAGGGAGGTTGTGGCCGACTATTTTGAATCCGGCGTCATCCCCTCTGACCTGTCGCCGTGCAGCGTCGAGTGCCACCCCTGGGACGAATCCTGCCCGGCCACAGGCGAGTCTGTCCTCCAGACCAACGATGCCGAAGTAGAGGCCATGACTTCTTGGTTCAACAGAGACGAGGCCCCATGGTACAGGAAATCACCTCTTGGATTACTCTAGCCAACCCCTTTGTTACATTGTAACTTGGCACTGCCAGCATATATACATACTCTGCTTGCAAAATGCTCCTGGTATTGTGAATAACTCGCCCTGTAGTTGCTTCCGCCAATACTAGGGCTGTCGACGGCTACCCTTGCTTGTAAGCACAGCACTCGAGAGTGCACCTAGCATCTTTTTTGCACAGGCCAGGAGAATCGTCCGTCACCTTTAGCTCCTTTGCATCTGAAACTCAACAAGTTTTCACAAGATCAGCGAATTGCCCTACGACCTCGAGCTACCTCATCAGGAAATGTCGTTGATTGTATTGTTACAATGTAATTCACATGGCCCATTCCTATCGCACGGCCGCTCGTCATTACATCCGATACCGCAGCTACAACCACATTATGCCGCTCGCCAAGAAATCTAGGTTCAAATTGCCCCCATCAACAGAAAACAGCAAATATTCTTCCACCCCAATTCATCATGCCTAACTACCCTCCGAAATCATCAAATCATGGCTATTACAGAGATTCCCAGATGTATCCGTCGTCAAGTCGCTTCAGCCCATTTGGGGTCCAGTTCCAGACACCCCGGCGGGCAGCCGACTCGATAACTTCCCGCTTGACGGGCTGAGGAACAGCACTTGCACGACAAGCAGCAGCATCGCAGCCGTTGTCGCTCCAGCCCAGCTTGAAGTCATCGCCCCACCAGACTCGCAACTCGGTGCCCACACGCAAGCTGATCAGGACTGCAGTGATATTCGCGTAACCGTCAAAGGTCACAGGGGTCAGTTGACAGCTCCCGTGAGGGAAGTTGGGGCATGCCGGAATGCGCTTCGTCTCAGACCAGGCTACCGACTCCTCTCTCTGCAAAACGTCGTTGTAGCGGTATGCGGATACTTCAAACTCGCACCACTGCTCGGCACCCTCTGCTGCGCAGCCCAGACTGGCACCTTGGAAGTCAAACCTGAAGCAGTGATTCGGAGCATTGGGACCAACACCAATCTCAGCAGTGTCTCCCACCCCAGAATGGCCCAATGAGGGCAGGGAAGGCGGCACGAATTCGACAAGCTGACCGCCAGATGAGGGACTGTAAGATTGGAACGTCTGGGACGATGGAGGGGCGATGAGGAATCCTTCAGAGAACCAGATGTCTCGTGACGGGTTGAAGAGGGGGCCGGTTTTAGTATCGTCAAACTACACAAGTCAGAGACGGGAGATGAAGAAGGAGGAACCAGCAAAGAACCACATATACTTACGTTCAACGTAAAGTTGCCAATCTTTCCACCAGTGGGACACATAGGTGAGGAACCTGATCCATCCACGGAAGAGACCTGCGGTGGAGCAGGAAATGTCATAGAAGGAAGCGAGGGGACAAAGGCGCTCTGGGTGCTGAAGGTTGGAATCGGGGTCGTGCTCAGAGTGCTGTTATCCGGTGCCACGCTGGAGATTGGCGAGCTAGAGTTGTCCCATGCAACATCCGAGGTTACCAAGCTACACACGTGGTTAGATCTGTGTAAAGATGCCTGGAGAATCAGTCTTGACTTACTCTTGCTGACGGCGCATGGCGCGTCGATTGGGAAGGGCGACAGTGGCCATGGTTGTGAGAGGAAAGTTGATGGTGTACGTTGTCGTGTCCTCTGGGATGACATTTGTCCATGTACTGGTCTGGAGAGCTGTTGCAAGGCGTGACGGCGAGCCGTAGGCGTTCCCTGACAACCCCGAAGATTCCAACACCGGCGCCTGGTTGCTCCAGTCGTCACTGTACGGAACGAGAGTGGCGGGCTGCCCGCCAGGGCCATTGACGACGGTCAAAGTCGACGTGCGAGTACCAGTCACAGTTCCTGTTGGACCAACAATCCCAGATTCAGCTGCAGATGGTGGCAAAAGACTGGGAAGGCCAGATTGAAGTGACCCATACTGACCAAGTGTGGGAAGGTTGGTCAGGCCACCATTGGAGACCTGGGAGTTGGGAAAAGGCAGTGCGCCTGTTGACACTGGAAGAGAAGATCCAAGCTCCGTACCGCTCGGCAAGCCTACAACAGTCTGGACAACTGGTGTTGCCAAACCATCTGGCCCTACCGTAGTGAGCGTAATGCACGTCGTGAAAAGTCCACTTCCAGCAGGAGTCGCCGAAAGTTGACCTTGGGGGAGGCCGTTTTGAGCCGGCACGAGAGAAGGATACCCAGGGTTGGTCTGAACAGGCAGAGCATTGCTCATTGCGCCGGTTGGGACGACGACGGTTTGTACAACGGGCGTGATAGATCCATCCGGTCCCACGACTCCAACGGTGATGCAAGTTGTGGCCAGATTGTCTCCCTGGGGAAGACCTGAGACGCCTTGTGGAAAGCCAGAAGCTTGAGCAGGTGGCAGAGGCAGTGCATTGGTGACAGTGGGCAGAGCATTGGATGGATACACGACAAACGTGGACTCAACAACCGTCGGAGCACCGTCAGAACCCAAGACAGTATAGCTTGTGCAAGCCGTAACGGCATTCACACCACCATCCGTTGCGGGCTGTGAAGGATCACCAGAACCTCCACCTCCAAACTGGCTGGGAACACCGGTGACAACGTTGGCAGGATTCGCACCGGCAGTGGGACGAGGGACGATCCAAGTGGTTTCAACGACGGTTGGAAGACCATCCATTCCCAGAACTGTATAGCTCGTACAAGTTGGACTGCCGCCCACACTCGCGGCAGCCGCCGATCCAGTGACCTGAGTCGGGAACCCTGAGACCTGATTCGGGAACCCAGTGACTTGATTCGGGATGCCACCGACACCAGATTGAGTCGGTGCGGGCACCAGCCAAGATGACTCAACCACAGTTGGGAGTCCATCAGGGCCAAGGACAGTAAACGCAGTGTGTGTCGCAATGACAGGTCCTCCAGGCAAGCCCGTGACAACACTGGGGTTGATCGAAGGCTCAGACGGAAGACCAGAGGACAGACCGGAAGGGAGTCCAGACGGGAACCCGGATGGGAAACCAGATGGGAACCCAGATGGGAACCCAGATGGGAACTCAGATGGGAACCCAGATGGGAACTCAGATGGGAAAGCAGAAGGGAATCCTGACGGGAGTCCAGAAGTGAATCCAGATGGGAATCCAGACGGAAGGCCGGCTGTGTCTGTTGGAGAGTTGACCCAAGTGGAATGCACGACAGTGGGAACCCCATTCGGCCCTAGGACAGTGTAGCTGGTACATGTGGTTTGGCCAGCTGCTGGGAAGACTTGCGAGGCTGCTGGAGCAGGGCCTGAGGTAAAGCCAGGGAGGGCAGTGGCGGCTGTGGGAAAGGGTTGACCAGCACCATTGTTGTTGCCGTTGGTGGGCTCGCCGCCAGGGAACTCCAGAACTGTTGGGTTTCCATCTGCGCCAATGACTGTCACTTGCACAGGTTGACCGCCCTCCGCGCCAGTATCTGTCCCGCTTGGTGAAGTGTATTCGGACGGCTGCTGGCCAAGAGTCTGGGAAGGGCCGCTGGGGATGCCGCTGGGGAAGCCGCTGGGCAGGCCGCTGGGGAAGCCGCTCGCACCACCGTATGCAGAATTCTCAGGGGCAGGGGTACCAACAACTGGCCCGGCAGTCAAAGATGCCTGCGCATCTGATGGCGTGGGGAGTGGTGAGTTGTTGGGCCAAGAGCCTTCTGTGTTTGTAGGAGACCCAGCAGGAAAGTCCGCTGAGGTCGCAACAGGGTCAGAGGCACCGTCAGTGTAGACGGGGACAGATGGAACATCAGAAGTGAACGAGTCTAGTGACTCAGGATCGTCGCCCCAAACATCAATTGTGATCGTGGTGAAGGGTTTGACACTGGTTTGTGCTGCCTCAACAGACTGAGCAGAAGAGATCACGCCGGGGGTAGTGGGAAATGCAGTTTGATGGGCAGTATGGTCAGGATCAAAATCATTGGGTTGAGGAAGTCCAGAGGGCGTAGAATGGCTGGTAGGGTATACAGTGACAAAGACTGTTGTGATGGCTTGCAGAAGGCAGGTAGACATGTCAGGAGCTGAACCAGGAAGGTTGGCAGGCAGGCCAGCAGCAGAGCTCTGTGGATTACCGCTGGGATATCCATAGGAGTTGCCATCAGGATCACCATTGGTGCCGCCATTGGGAGAACCGCCATTGGGAGAACCGCCGTTGGGATAGCCACCATTGGGATAGCCACCATTGGGAGAGGCGCCGTTGGGATATCCACCATTGGAAGAGCCGCCCGGAAGGCTGCCAGCGCTGGCATGAGGACCGCTGTTCTGGTTGCCGTCATGCGATCTGTATCAAAGTTAGTCAAAGCCAAGCAAGGAGAAGGGGTGATCTCAGCCTGTACCCGTAGTCCACTTGAGCACTCGCGTGCTGCGCTACGGCGCCGGCCATCAAGACCGCCAAGGATCTGGAAACCCGCATATTGGGCAGAGGATGGTTGACGGAGTTGACGTGAGAACGAACAATCCGTCAATGGTGGAAGAGGAGGATGCGAATGAGTGACAGAAACAATGAATCGGTAAAGAAAGGCGAGGACCGAAACGAGAGAAACAAGATGAGGTGAGGTGGGAAGAAGAAGAGGAAGAAGAAAAGGAAGAGGAAGAAGAGGAGGGGGAGGGAGAGAAGAAAAGTTTTGTGGGCAGAAGAGCACACGAAGCTGGCGAGGAAGGAGCTTCCATCGTGCCGATGGCGGTCGTATGATGCCATCACTGTAACTGAGGAAGGTCCGACCTCTTTCTCTGGGCTGGCGTCGTTGTTGGCGTGTGCGTGCCGCGAGAGGACTCGTTCCTGCCATGGCCACACCGCTTTCCAGACAAAAAGAGAGGAATAGCAACAAAGGCAGGAGCAGTCAATTACCGACAGATTGACGTAACGCCATCATCTGGCACAGAGATTGAACATCATGAAGGGAAAGAGCAGTGGAATCTCGCTCAACGTCCGAGCAGCGACGTCACCGCTCTCGCAACTACCATCGTATTCGCTTTTGGTGTGTTGCAGCCGTGCCTCTGTGCTTTCCTCGTTATGTTTGACCCCCCTCAGCAGGCAGTTGTTTGAAGAGATGCTGCCATGGTGGTGTAAGTGCAGTGCATGAGAGGTAGAGGCAGGAGCAAGATGCCATTCAGTGACGAGTCGCGCATATTCGATGCCATGCGTAAGGCTTCAGACTGGGCCAGCACAACGCTCTCGGACGACGTATTGTAGATTCACACGAGCGAGCCTTGCAAAGAAGCTGATTTCGCAATACGTTGATTCCTGAACCAAGTGAAGCAGATGGATATGCAACTAGATGATTGTTGATGTTCGTATGGCACTATGAGCTGCGGTGCGGGCCAATCATGTTCAGGAACAGTGCCATATTTAGCACATTCAGCCAGCAGCATGTTGATTGGCGGGGAGCTCGACGTCCCCATGGGCACATGCTCCAAGTGTTTGTAACACCATAATTAGAACGTGCAACGCCACGATAGACTTCTTTTAGGCATCACGGCCAGCCTCACCTATTCTAGCCTCATATGCCTCGTCGTAGCCATCGATGGGAGAACCATGTCTTTCCAAACGCCGCACAGCAACTTGCTACCCCCTCCTGAAGAGCATCCCCCTACCGTTGGGCACTGCAGCTATCGACCATTCCTCTACCTCAAGCGCGCAGCCGTAGCGGCAAGCTACCCGGTTCGCGGCATCTGGTACTACTCACGACACAGAGAGTTTTGGCCTCTTCTCTCTGGAAGGCTACTGCCTCTGTCTCTAATCTCGTTTGTCGTATATTTCGTGTTGTTCTCGTTCGCCTTCCTCCCGCAGTTCTTATTCCTGGCCATCTTTCATGGCTGGGGCGCATGGGTCAATGCTGTCGTCCTTGTGTTGGGAGAAGGACTGGTGATCATCCAGGGTCTATTTGAAGGTTTTTTTGTTGATGAATGCCGGGTGGATGTCTTTGACGTAAGCTGAAATCTCAGGGAAAGCCTAGCCATCCATGCAGTCTCAAGCTAAACATCATCTCCAGGCCACTCTCATCAATCTCTCACTGAAAGATTTGATTGCTCCTCACCGCATCCTGTTTGAAGATGCGCCCAACGCCGTCAAGATGCTGGGAAAGCCGACAAGTCCGGCAACCTTCAACCCGTGGAGCACGATCCAAGTTGTAGAGCTCATCTTCTTCCTTCCTCTCAACCTGATCCCCTACGTTGGAACAATTGCCTTTATCATGATAACCGGGACGCGGATGGGGAAACTCTCACATCACCGCTGGTTTCAACTTCGTGGCCTGTCAAAGGCAGCGCAAGCGAAGGAGATCAAGAGCCTTGAGTGGGAATACGTGTTCTTCGGGACTGTGGCTATGATTCTCGAACTTGTTCCTGTGTTTTCCTTCTTCTTTCTTCTGACTACGGCCGCAGGTGCCGCCATGTGGGCGGCTGATCTAGAGAAGTCGAGAAGAAGAGAGGCAGAATCCAGCGCTAGGCAGGGAGCATTGGCCCGATATACAGACGACCTTCCCTAGGCTTTGAGCAGCAGCGGCAACCTGCTTTGTCAGAGACAGGTGTATATATAAGAATGAAGAGACCATGGATATCATCAGTACTTCAATACCACTCTAGAGCGTGCAACTAATATATTATTTCGCAATAAGAATGCAGATGCGAGTCGCATCTCATTCATGGCCCCGCATCGTATGAAGCTGTTTTGTCCACCCGAGAGCTACCAAGCTTAGTCAGGATTCACACCTACTGCCCACTACCATTCGAGACCCGTCTAGCACCTCTTCGTCATCGTTCAGCCTAGAATACCAACACCTTGAAGCCACCACGCATCAGCACCTGCAAAGTCTCCGTACGGCCACAAAGACTTCCCAAACGCTGGCACACCGACACCCAGTCCGCCACGCATCAGTTTCTTCTCAATTCCGACAACTCTTTCGAATCATCACTCAGAGGAAGCAATCTCGCGGCACCCAACCATGGCTGACCGGAGCCTCGCCCAGATTCTCGCCCAGCTCAAGCAGGCCCCTCAGATGAGCTATCCTGAGGCCAGCGCCCTCCTCTCCAAGGCCAAGCTGATCCTCCTGAGCCTCAACGCCCTGACTCCGACACCCTCAACGCCCCCGAACCTTCTCGCCCTCGCCCGGGAAACGTACGAACAGGGCGCCCTCTTCTCCATTCGCGCCAAGAACGCCGATGCCTTCACGCGCTACGTCCAGCAGCTGCAGCCCTTCTACGAGCTCCCATCCGTTACCCTGCCGCCCAACATCCCCGAACGCAACAGGGTCACGGGACTCAGCTTGCTGCTGCTCCTCACTCAGGGCCGCTACGCCGAGTTCCACTCAGAGCTGGAGAGTCTGGCGAACAGAGACGGTGGCGGCACCGACGTTGAGGGTGACCGGTATCTGGGCTACCCCGTCCGCTTGGAGAGGTGGCTGATGGAGGGGAGCTATGATCGTGTATGGAAGGCAATGAAGAGCAGCGAGGTGCCCTGTGATGAGTACAGTGTTTTCTCCGAGGTGCGTATCCGACGACTTGACGTGTCATTGTTTGCGTTCAGAACTTCTAGCTAACTGGAACGGTGGAAATAGATTCTCAAGAACCAAATTCGGTCCGAAATTGCCAGCAGCAGCGAACGAGCCTACCCCAGCCTTCCCATAAGCTCCACCAAATCATTACTATTCTTGAACTCGGAAGGAGACGTCATTCAGTTTGCCAAGCACCGCGGATGGGTCGTTAAGGAGGGCCACATCTATTTCCCCAACGCGGCCGCTGAGGGCAGTGAAGACGGAGCTTATGCCAAAGACATGAGCCAGATGATCATCGAGAACACACTGGGCTATGCTCGCGAGCTAGAAACCATCGTGTAGAGGATATCAAGCCACACGGTTTAGTTTTGATTTAGATGCCACAACTCACAATACACATCAGCATACAATATCATTGGTTAAGCAAAACAAGATTTAATAAGAGTCAAATACTATGGCATCAAGCATGGGTGGTGAACTAGATTGAACAGCTCTTCAATGGTCCCGGCCATCACTGACACCTCGCTGCCGGCAACATCCTTCGATGTCATTTAGTTATATTCCATGACTATGATACTGTTGCGCCCCTTTTGAGCCCCCCTCTCCTTTTAACAATTCCAAGCCTAAATTAAGTGTCTATGAAAACAGTCTCAAGCCGCTACCGTGCTTGCCAATCTCGCAAACTCTGCACACCCTACAAACCGATCCCTTAAAGCTAGAGTGATACTTTGAGCCATCAAAGGCACACTCTTCGTATGGAGCTCCGCTGTAGATTGGAGTGTGGCTGGCGGCACAAATCTCAAATTCCGCAAACTGGTCGAACTCAATCTCGATGCTGTCAGTCGGGTTCCTCTCGCATTGAGCTTTCGTCTTCTTGGCCTGTATTGAAAGCATTAGTGTTGGCCTTGGAAAAGGAGATATCCCATGAGTGTCAGTCTGTGTGTTACTTGACTTACATTCTCGACGATTTTGCTCGAACCTCCGTTGGCAATAATGCGGTTCGCGAAGCCCAATGCAGAGTTGTAGTTCTTGCTCTTGATTGCCACCTTGATAGCGCTTAGCAGTGCAATCTGCCTGTGAGGCACCTCAATCTTGGGAATTGTGAAGTAAGCGGCCAATTCTAGGCTCTTCTTCAGTTTCGCGGGGTCTTGAGCAATCTCATCGGCCGAGCCAAGGTTTCTCCTGGCAAGCTCAATGCTCATTGCAATGGTGTATTCCCTCGCTGAAACGAGCAGCTTCTTTGCCTCCGACACTTCGCTCTCGCTGGAGACGGCATTGACCAGGATAGCATGCAGGATGCCCTGGAAAATCTTGACGCCGTCTTCCAGCTTGTTCGCCTTCATTGAGTCGTAGCCCTTCTGCAGATCATTGGAGGCCAAATGCTCAAGGTCACGCGGGATGATGGGCAGAACTTTTCGCAGATCCGTCTCATCGACGGTACGACGAACATAGTTGACAAGGGGTGGCAGGTTAGCCAACGCCGGAAGGAAAGTCTTGGAAGATCGGTACACCTCCAGGAATCGGGGTTTCAGGGGGCCAAACTCGACTGCACCGACCTGGCGGTTCAAGAGCTGCATAGCCGATTCAAACGAGCCGCCAGCAACGTGGTCGACAGCCAGAGGTGAGTTTCGTGCCCAGATATCAGCCTCACAGCTTCCAGCGCCGCCGGCTTCCGCACTGTCGACGTTCACAAAGTCGTTCTCGATCTCGGGGACATCATCGTCGCCCATATCCCAGCCTGCTGCATCATCATCGTCCTCGCCACCGACAGCAATGAGATCGTCTGCCGGCTGGTCTTTTGCAGCATGCTCGACATCGACTCCGTTGGCGGCACTGGGCTCATCCTCCAATGACAAGCCTTCGACCTGGCCGAGAAGAGCGTTTTCGAAGTAAGACTGTGAACTAGCCTTGGTGGGCCAGTTGGACTTGAAGGTCGATACCACCGGCTTTGGTGGTACCAACGGCTTGCCTAGGGCGGGCATGGTCAACTGGTCTTCTGTGAGACCAGAGGCCTCGAGGATAGCTTCGCACTCTTCCTCTAGCCCATGAGATTTGGCCGTTGTGTACGCGAGGGGATCTATATGTAACGGTTAGCGGTCCATTATCGTAGAGAGTAGAGATGAGTGAACATACACAGATCAATCTCCTTCAGCATCTGGATGCGGTCTTCCACATCGCCAAGGTAGAGGGCGTTCTGGAACCGCGCGGTGAAGTCTCCACGATGCTCTGCGATCTTGGCCATTCGGGCAAGCTTCGAGTGGTCGCCTGTTGTCAGGTAGAGGAACGAGAGCTTATCGAATTGCTTCAGCTTCTGGTAGCACATCTCCACGATCTGGTGGTTACCGTGGGAGAGCGCTTCGGTAGCCAGTCGAGTCCAGAACTTGGGCTTGTCCAGCTCCTTAGCCATCTCCACAGCAACGTCCAGGTTGCCGCATTCAATGGCCAGATCGAATCGAGTGGTTGGGTCCTGAACGAATTGCAGCGCAATCTCGGGATAGCCCTTCTTCTGGAGGTAAGAAATGATAGACTGGCCAACAAGGCTGGAGGTGCGGATAATGTGAAGCATTTCCTCGTAGTTTCGCTTGACCAAGGCCATCTTGAAACGATACTCCGTCGGGTCAATGCGCAGAATGCGAGGCTTCGCTGCTCGATCTAAGCAATAGACGTTTCGGCCCTTGACGCGCACGAGATAGACGGTCTGGTCAAGTGTCCGCACGATACCATTGTCGCCATTCAGCAAAGCGTACTTGACATGGTTCAGGGTCGAGTAGAGAAGAACGCCCGCATCATCCCAAGTGGCGCTCTTGATGCGAATAGTCTCGTGCAAAGTGCTGATTTGCTCAAGCGTCTTTGTGACAATTGTCACGTTGTGTTTGCTCAACAAGGCGGCGTAAAGACCGTCGTTGGACCACACAATGTATTTGACGCCATTGATAGCAAGCTCTGCAGTAGACTTCTTCTGCTGAATATCGTAAAGATAGACAGTTGTGGGCGTGATGATGAGAAGGTTGCCTGTGCCTCCGAAGTAGATATCAGTTGTCCCGGCCGGAGGCTTGAATGACCGAGCTGTGTTGTTCGACAGATCCTTGATATCGATCGTTTGGTTGGCAACGTTGAGCACAGCGAAGCGATTTCTAGCGACAAAAATGGCGGAGTTCCCTGATCCTCGCTTGGACTCTGACGGCTCAATAGCACCAGAGCCATCTCTAGGGAGATTGACAAGTTCGTAAGAGCCACCATCATTAGGGGTGGTGACGAGAATAGACCTCTCGGCAGGGTTGTAAGACAGGGTCCGGGGAGTAACCCAGGGGCTTCCAAGCTTCTTGAGCGACAGCAACGTCGGGCTTTCCACATCCTTCTGGAAATCGTAGGACTTGACGTGCTTCTCCTTGGTGATATAGAAGAGAGTGTTCTGGTGAACTGCCGAGGCGGGGCGCTCGCGTTCCAGCTTGAAGACCATGACACCATTGTCATGGCCAGCTGCGAACAGATTGATCTCAGGGTGAGCCGCGATAACCCAGAAGCGGTCGTTTTCCCTCTTGAACGATTGCACGGCAGTCCTTTTGTTGAGATCCCAGACCCGTATCGTCTTATCCTCACCAGCGGACAAGATCAGGTCCTGGTGAGGGTGGAACAGACAGCCTGAGGCGTTCTGGAAGTGCCCGCGGCACGTGTCGACTTCCCAGGCTTTGGTTTCGCTCATACGCCAGAGCTTCACGAGGCGATCGTCGCCGGCCGAAACAATCAGGGGCATGGTAGGGTGGAAAGCTACCCAGTTGACTCCACGGTCGTGGCCCTCCAGGACGAATTTGACGACGGCATCGGTATTGCCAAACATATCCGTTTGGTTTTGGTTCGCACGCGCGATTTGGTCCTCGTAGCTCATGGAAGTCGGTGCGGAGTGCTTCTTCCGAAGCCCGGAAATATCCCAAACACGGACTGACTGGTCCAGCGAGGCCGAGACCACCAGATCTTCCTTGGGGTGGAATTGGGCGCACATGGCATAGTGGTTATGGCCGGTCATGGTGCAAACTAAGAGAGGATTAGCGACCTTATGCGGAATCCCAGCAGCTTACGAGGATGCAACATACTCAAGCTACGGTTCTGCCAGTTCCAGATTCGAATTGTTTGATCATCGGAAGCGGACAGAATCCACGGAAGCTCGTGGTGGAAGAAGACGGTTCGCACGTAATCGAGATGGCCGTTGAGTGTGAAGAGGCATCGTCGGGTCTGGTACGACCAGACTTTGATCTTGTAATCGTCGCCGCCGGATACGAAGAGCGGCTGTGTTTTGTGGAAGTCGACGCCGCGAACCGGACCATCATGCTCCTCGAATCGATCGATCAGTGTGCCCATCCGGTAATCCCAGAGCTGGATCGTGGAGGAGTGGAGGGCGACGAGAATCCATGGTCTAGTTCGCCAGATCAGTTCTCCGAGCGTTATTGCTCATGACGGGGAGGCACGCAGCTACCTTTTCGGATGGAACGCGATTCCTTTGGCCCTGGACGACTTCGACTCAAACTGAGGGGTGTCAGTTCAGATCCCGGAGCCGAGCAGCTCTCGAATACATGTAGGCGACATACCTTGGTCAACATTCCTGGGGAGGACTGCATTCTGGCGGGCAGGTGAGGTCGCAGCCTCGCTCATTAAGGGAAAAAGGAACGGATAGACGGACAGACACCCGTACGAGGAGACGCAGACGACTGGCTTGAGAGGCCTCGATTGACGACGACAGCTATTCAAGCCTGGCCAGAGAGTCAGCATAAAAAGGAGCGAGATGGAACAGTGCGGTCGTATTGGCCAGCTGCTTCCAATTGAGTATCGTGTCCATCTCCAAGGTGGGTATTGCGCCAGCCTCAGCCCCGCAAGCTCATTGGCCGTGACATCTCACCGCCTTGGGTGCCTCACCCCTCTTATACTGCATATCTTCATAAAACACTACCTGTTTACTGCATACCCATCAAGCGGACACTTCAGCGCCTTCTATGTACCTGAACGATGATACTGCGCTTGTTCTTCGAATGATAGCTGGTAGGTAATTGACGAGGCAATTGTAGGCAAAGACTGCTTAATCAGACAAGACATATGGCATCTGAGGGTTCTTGTGATATCTATACAGGTTCTTCCGTATGCAGAAATTCAACTTATGGTTAAAGCTTGGTTGTTCTGCTGTTGTTGACGTTGTTTCCTGCCCAATTGCAGATTGTGGGGGAAGCTTTGATACATGTGGCGCAACAATTGGTGGCCCGGTTTCGCATGTACTGTAGCGATTCTGGATAGCTGTCCATACGCTTTTGGACAGCTCTTGGGCGACGACTTGATTACCGACTTTTTGTCCATTGCATTGTTCTTCCTTACCCTGTCGTATTCATTCTGCCGCCGCGATCTGTTTATCTCGTCAATGGTACTGCATGTCTGAAAATAAGCTCGTGGAGGGATCATCTCGTCTGTCGACGCCTCTTACATGCTCCGCCCGCCCTCGACAGCTATCATGACACAGCATCGCTGGTGGCCATGGAACCTGATATTCGGCCTCCTGCTTGCTCTGCAGGCTCATAGCACTCCCACCGTGAATGTGGGCATGATCGCAGCTTTCCCTGCTGGCCCATATCTCCTCGAGCTCTTGTACTTATCCTCAGCCTTTCTTGCTTCGACGGGACGAGCGAGTACTGAACAATTGACAGAGAGACCGCAGCAGCAGAGAACTCCTCGTCGTATTTCCCTCTGCTAGACCGAATCGCGGCCGGACACTTCGCCTCTGCCTCTACCGATGCTGAGTTATACGCCCAAGTTCTCGATATCTTGCAACAAGACGGCAGTCTATCTAGCCCCGAGGCGCTGTCGACGTTCAAGCTTGCTTTGTCTTTGCGGTCCGCTGCCCCTCGGATAGAGGCTCATTATCAATACTACACCACTGCCGTTGCATCCGCAGTGGATGACGCCGCTGAGTCAGGATGTATCAACTGGGTGCTGCTGGACGGGAAGCAATACTGCACTCCGGAACTCAACAAAGTCCATAGAGAGGGACTGTCTTCTCTGTCAGTATTTCTCTGATGGAATGCAAGGCAAGCTCTAACATCTGAAGTAGACAAGCTAAGGATCTGCCATTCGATCGAGCTCTTGGTGTGGGTAAAGAAGCCATCCTCTATGCCGATCCAACTTCAACCTCCTTTGGAGAATTCCACACGGCTCTTGCCAAAGCAGCCAGGCAGGGCTCTTTGAGCTATCGCCTAAGATATCGCCGAAGTGAAACTACGCATGCGGCAGATCTACCCATCAGCGGTTATGGAGTCGAGCTGGCACTGAAGAGAACTGACTATATCGTCCTCGATGATCGATCGCATGATGAGGAATCTCATGCCGCTGAGACCCCTGCTTCTGCTTCCAGCCTTGATGACGATGAGGATGTTGCTGATATCAAACCACTGGCATCATCAGACCTCTCATCACTCGGACTGAAAGTGGCATCGTTCATACTGCAAAGCGACAAGCCACTGGATACATTGATAAAGCTGGCCCAGGATCTGCCCAGATTCCTAACTTCAATTGTTGCTCACAATGTTTCGTCACAGTTTGAAGAAGAATACCAAAGTAACGGCGCACTTGGAGTGCCGGAAGGGATGAACATTCTGTTAGTGAACGGTGTTCAGCTCATTGAACGTCAGATCGAGCCATTTGCTCTCATCGAAAGGCTACGACAAGAGCGAAAACTCATCGACGGCTTCCGTGCTCTTGGCCTCAGTGGGCAACAAGCAGTATCTATTCTCGGCCATCAAAGCGTGTCTCTCGCCAAGGACTCCGATGAGCCGCTGCGATACGACTGGACCGATCGTCTTGAGGACGGCCGAGTCTTGATTTGGTTAAATGATCTCGAGAACGATGAGGCATACGAGCACTACCCCAAAAGCATCGCCTCGGTAAGCCGCAAGAGACTGAAAAGAGCGAAGCGTTGAAGCTAACAGTTTCAGCTGTTACAACGAGCGTATCCTGGACAACTACCTCCAATTGCGAAAAACATCTTCACTCTTGTTGCGCCTGTGGATCTCTCGAGCTCAGAAGATGTCTCGTTCGTTACCCAGTTGTTGTCATTCATCTCTCGGGGCATCTCTGTCAGATTTGGCCTGGTTCCCCTGACTTCCACTCCGGAGGCTACCGCTAAAGCCAAGATAGCCTATCACATCTTGGAGAATTATGGTATCCGCGGCCTCATTGGCTACCTAGCGCGGCTTCAACAGGCTGCTACAGTGCTGAGTGACGAAGAACTCTTCGCAGAGATCACGGCAGGCCATGAGCTCCTCGAAGACTCGGAGAAGATGACGCTTGCAGAAGTGCTTGAAGCAGACACATACCAGCAACAACTCGGACTTGCCCAACAGTGGACCAATCGATTGAAGGTCGACACGCCCATCCGGCCAACCTTTTTCAATGGTCTATCAATTCCTCGCGACGAAACTTGGATGCAAAAATTGGGGATGCAAATTGGCGAAGATCTTCAAACAGTGCAAAAGGGAGTGTTCCATGGCCTCCTGACTGATGACGACTGGGCTCCAGGGCTGTTCCTGAGCAGAGCAATCACCAGGAGGAACAGCTATATAACGCCGGACGACGAGAAAAAGAGCCTCAGGGTGCTCAATATCAACAAGGTTTACAATGAGCACGCGAACCTTTTTGAGGACGTCCCTGTCCTCGAACCCGTTGCAGGATCGCAAAGGGAAGAGTGGGCAGCTGTGACTGTGGTCGCTGATCTCACAACAACGAGCGGCAAAGAGCTGGTCTTATCCGCCCTGGAGTTCAAACGCCGTAATCCCGGCGTCAGGATGGACATTGTTCACAATCCCACGACTGCTACTGGTGCCTCCTCAGTAAATGCTGCTCTCCAGGCCAACCAAGGTTCACTGAGCGACATCCAAGACATCAACGAACTGAACGATCTTTTACAAACCCACTCCGATTTTACTGAAAAGGACGAGTACTTTGAGGCTCTCGAGCAATTCCTCAGCGCCTCCAAAATACCCTCAGGGGCTCGGATGATCATGCTCAACGGCCGAGTGATTGGACCCATCTCTGAAGACTCCGAGTTTGATGCCGACGACTTTCAACAGTTCCTAGACGTTGAACGGATGAAGCGTATCCTTCCCGTCTACGGAGCGATCGAGGAACTTGGCCTGAGCGATAAGCTAGCTACTCCATTGGACGCCGCTAGGCTGACGTCCATCACTGCCCTCTCTACAATTTCCGAATTGCCTGAAGGCATCTTCGAGTCCACGTCATCGATTCGGACCACTCTCTACGACAAGTGGCATGCAACCCACACGGTCATTGAAAGAGGCGACCAAGAAAGCGCCAGTATATTCATCGTGGGCACCCTGAACCCCGTCAGTGAACAGGGCCAGAGGTGGGCTCCCATCTTGAAAGTGCTGTCTGAGCTGGAGGGTGTCCACTTGAAGCTCTTCATCAACCCCGTGGCCAAGGTTGAGGAGCTCCCGGTAAAGCGCTTCTTCCGATACGTGTTGGAGTCGCAGCCCTCGTTCAGCGAAGATGGGGAGGTACGGGGTCTGCAAGCTACCTTTAAGAACTTGCCATCTGAAGCCCTGCTTACAACTGCGGTCGATGTGCCCCCTGCATGGCTAGTTGCGCCTCTGATTTCAATCCACGATCTCGACAATATCAAACTGAGTGCGGTGAAGACAGCCGTCCATGCAACGTATGTCCTGAAGCACATTCTCATTGAAGGACATTCCAGAGAGGGCAAGGGGTCGGCGCCACGAGGAGCCCAGTTGGTTCTCGCCACAGAGAAGGATCCCCTCGTCACAGACACCATAGTCATGTCGAACCTTGGATTTTTCCAGTTCAAGGCCAATCCTGGAGTCTACTCCATCCGTCTGAAGGAAGGTCGCAACACCGAGGTATATGAGATCGAGAGCATCGGTGCTCAGGGGTGGAACCCTGTTGCTGGAGACAATGGTACTGAGCTCGCTCTGATCGACTTCCAAGGCGTAACACTGTACCCTCGTCTTCAAAGAAAACCCGGCATGGAAATGGAGGATGTCCTTCAGGAAAAGGAGCCTTCAGATAACATTGTTGCCAAAGGACTCAAGCTGGCAGAAGGCTTCTTTGGCGGAAAATCGAACAAGAAATCGCTTTCTGCACAGGAACACGCAGAGATCAACATCTTCTCCGTGGCCAGCGGTCACCTCTACGAGCGCATGCTGAATATCATGATCGTCTCGGTGATGCGCCATACAAAGCATACCGTCAAATTCTGGTTCATTGAGCAATTCCTCTCTCCATCCTTCAAGGAGTTCATACCACGCATGGCACAGGAGTACGGGTTCAAGTACGAGATGGTATCATACAAGTGGCCGCACTGGCTACGGCAACAGAAGGAGAAGCAGCGAGAGATTTGGGGCTACAAAATTCTGTTTTTGGATGTCTTGTTTCCCCTCTCCTTGGACAAGGTCATCTTTGTGGATGCCGACCAGGTTGTGCGCACCGACATGATCGAGCTGATGAACCTTGATCTCGAAGGCGCCCCCTATGGGTTCACTCCCATGTGCGACTCCCGCACCGAGATGGAGGGATTCCGTTTCTGGAAACAGGGGTACTGGGCGAACTATCTTCGAGGCCGCCCTTACCACATCTCCGCCCTCTACGTCGTCGACCTGAGGCGCTTCCGGGAGCTCGCCGCGGGCGACCGCCTCCGCCAACAGTACCACTCGCTTTCCGCCGATCCCAACAGCTTGGCCAACCTGGATCAGGACCTGCCGAACCATATGCAGTTCCACATCCCCATCCACAGCCTGCCCCAGGAGTGGCTCTGGTGCGAGACGTGGTGCAGCGACGAAAGCCTCAGCGTAGCCCGAACCATTGACCTGTGCAACAACCCGCTGACCAAGGAGCCCAAGCTCGACCGGGCGAGAAGGCAGATTCCCGAATGGACGGCCTATGACGAAGAAATTGCGGCCTTGAGACAGCTCTTTAAGCAAGAGACGGGAACCGCCGGCAAAGAAAGGCTTTCTGAAAATGGAGACTCGAGAGCACCTGTGTCGGGAGCCAAAAACACCAAGAGCCGAAACTTTGAGAGCGACAAGACGCATACAAAGGACGAACTGTAGAGAGAAAGAGAGCACACGCATACTGGAGGCATCAAGTGCAGCATCCCCCAAAGCACCCTTCGTGTTTGGCAAGGCCGGCTCCCCAGTTATTCACCCACACACACAGACACACATTCACGATGTATATAGTACGTAGAAGATCCTAGTAGTAGATATAGGTAGAAAACGCAAAACAATAAGTCTATTTATTTAGGCAAACATCGTCATAGAGAAAATATAGAAAAAAGAATACTAGGATGATTCATAAAGGGCCGTTGCTCAACACATGTGAAGCAAGCATATACTGGTAACCTATCCCCTTAGAGGTCAAGCCAACTATGGATGTAGCTATAGACATTCTAGAGCTTGATCTGTCGCTCCATAATGGAGAGACTTTTAGGTTACAACTGGAATTAAACCAACATGATTAAAATAGCCTGATCTTGCCGGTGAAATCAGCACCCGCACCAGTCGTCGTTGTCGTTTTCCTGCCAGCGCCAGTGTAGTCTGGGGCGCCGGTACCAGTCTGCTGGGTTCCGTTCGTGTTGTCATTGTTCTGGTGGTTTGGCTGCAACAGTCGGAAGTTCGCAATGTCCGACAGCTGGTCGGTCAACGAGGTAGGGATGGACTTGGCAGCAAAGATCGGGCCGACAATAAGAGCAATGAAGACGATGGCGAGAACGAAGTAAAGAATGGCAAAGCGAATGACGCGGCGTCGCCTAAGCTTCGACTGCTTCATGGAGTAAATCGGAGGACGAATTTGTCGGCTAAGAAAACATGTCAGTACAAGTACCATAATGAGGTGACACAGCGCAAAGAACTTACCTTGGCAAGAGCCAGAACAGCATCATCGAATGCAGTACGTCAACGCGAGGGATGAGGATGACAGGAATCATGAAGAACAGCAGCCAGTGTCCAAGAATGAAATCAGCCGCAAACATGCTGAGTTCGGTAATCTTGGCAAGCCATTCACGAGCGGGCTGAGTGACGGTGTGCCAGCCCATGGAGTACCATTTTCCAGTCCAGAAGGCAATGTTGGATCCATCACCCTTGAATTCTCGCGTCAAGAACAACGAGACGATGAGTTTGAACAGGAATCGCTGCATCGCCACCACGGCAATCATGCCGGCCATCGTGCGAGAGAAGTTGAAACCCTCGAGCAAGAAGAGCACTTCGAAGAAAGCCAACATGAAGATGACGGCAAGAGCGTGAGCAATAGCGGCCAGGACACTGCCAAACTTCTTGCAGCACATGCTCAGGAGAGGTCCCATAAAGCATGCCATGGCAAACATAACCATCAACACACCAGCATTGATGGCGACGGGGCCGAAAGCGACGATCAAGATTCGAACGAGAGAGTCGGTAGGCTGAATCTTGGGGGCCTTCTGGCCCTTGGGGACCTTCTGCTTATCGGCAACGACACCAGTCTGTGCATTCATGAACAAGTACGGAATAAGCGTAACAATAGCGAGCAGGAGCGGCGTGAAGATTTCCGTGAAGAAGATGTTGGTAATGGCTGCTCTGGGAACATCGCCTGACAGCTTGGCTGACGCGTCGCCCAGGTTCTTGCGCTTGTAACCAGTGACTCGGATTCGAGAAAGTCGGCAAAAAGCAATCCACGAAGAAGCATGCGAGCGAGAGTTACCACGCGACAGCCAACGAAGGTAGTCACGGTAGTCGATGAAGAAATCGGTCCATGCGAACTGATGCGGGTTGTACAGGAAGGGCGAGATTGTCAATCCAAGCAAGGTGATCCAGAAGTAAACGAGGGCAGGCTGCCAGGCGGTGACGGTCGCAAACAGAAGCATCATCAACAACCTCGCGCCGAAGTAGATTGACGGGGCGGCGAATCGAGAGTACAGGACACCGAAGGGAATGCGCGCTGTGGCGAAACCACGACCTGTTCCGATATATCTGGCACCGCCAAAGGAAATGTTCTGCTGCACAGAGTTCGCGTAAATCTGACAGACGAAGACTTCGAAGAACGGTGAAAGCGAGAGGAATTGCTTCAGGAAACGACTCAGGGCCCTCCAAATACCACGCTCGGTCAATTCCTGCACTATCAGGGGAACGAACGACAGGAAGAAGACGAAGAAAATGGAGAAGACACAGCGCTGGACCCAATCCATCAAGGCGTCCGTGTTGGCGCAACCGGTGGGGAACAGGGGATCGGTGATAGGGACGTCTCGGTTGTAGTCGCATCGGATGGTCTCGTGTCGCAGAGCTCCAATGTTGATGAGCGTGATCATGAACATCTGGATGGACAGCATGATGAACATGTTGTTGACGTGGAAACCGGCGTGAGCATAGTAGAAGGACAAGAAACGGTCCAGGGGCAGTTGGGTTCCCAGGTAATGGTACTCTCGAGACAGAAGTTGCTCACCCATACCAGTACCGATCTTGGTGGTGAAGTTAAGAATGGAACCGAAACCCAAATCACGACCCTTACCACACTGGTAGTACTCGCAGTGCTTGATTCGGCCTCCACGCAACATGGCATTCATACCGGCGAAAATATCTTCGTTCAGATGCAGACCCTTCTGAGCCTTGGAAACACCTCCACGAGTTGTCATGAAGATACCATTGAGGAAATCAGGATGACCGTAGTGAAGCTTTCCACCAATCTGAGCCATGGTACGCGCAAAGAGAGTACCGAATGTCTGTTCCTTTCCGGCGGCGATATCACCAAGGATACCAATGTTTTCGGAGAAAATGTACTCACGGGCACCGAGAATGGCCACAGGCGCAGGCGAGTTGGTCTTAACACCGGGGGTATACGGAGACACATTTTCAGTCTTCATTTCCTCGAACTCGGCGAGCACGCTTCGGATCTTCAGGCATTCCTCCAGATAGTTGTCCTGGTTGGCGTCGATGAGCTGGATGTATTCACCACGGTAGAAGATGATCGAGTGGTTCTGGTTGTCGGATTTTCCGTCACCAAGAATGGGGTTACCAGAGAGCTGAACGCGGAACTTGGGACGTCGCATGCCGTTCTCCATGATCTCGGAATGGCCGTCAATGAGAGCAGAGTACAGTCGGGGCTCTTCGCCTTCGGCAACGGGGGGCTCTTCGTCCAGGTAGGCGATCTGAAGGTCGGGGTATGCGCGGAGCAGGAACTCGGCATTCTCCATTTCCTCCTTCTTGAATTTGGAATAACGCTGCATGGCTACGCAAATGCGGAATTTGCGGCGGGCCATGCGCTCCAGTTCGCGCTCCAGCTTATCCGTGTTGCCACCGAACATTTGCACGACTTCAGGGTTTTCGACTCTATACAACAGCTTGATAGCACGGCTATAGTTCATGAAGCCGGAGATTGTTCGGTACAGCGTTTGGAAGCGCAACGACGCCCAAATGCGTGTACGGAGGGTGTATTCAGGGGCGGAGGACTTGAAACCGATACAGTAGAACGGAAGGTCGTCAATTTTGCTCTTGGCCGTGTCCTTCTCGTTCTTTTCTTCGTCGCCGTTCAGTTGCGATGTCTCGTCAGCCAGAATCTTGGTGTCCTTCACGAAGCAATCCCATTCGTGCGGGTGAAGCTGCTTGAGGTACTCCAAAAGTGTAACTCGGGAGTAGGGCTCATCCTCACGAATGATTTCTCGCAGGGAAAGAAGGATCTTTTCACCGTAGTGGGGAATCATGACTGTGAAAGTCGGCATGTTGTCCACCGGCAGGGGCTCCGGAATAGGCGTAGAGAGCGACTGGGCAAAGAAGGAAATTCGGCGTTCAGCCTCACTGTTGCTGGGGAAGAACTCCGTCTTGAAGGAATGATCTTCTTGAGAGACGAAGAAAGTCGGGGCTCGCAGTGTTCTCTTTCCTTCTTGCTCTGACGGAACCTGGTGGTACAGCAACTTCTGCACGTGGTCAATGGCAAGGAGATGCTCTCGGTACATGGAGATGACGATGGCGTTCCAGACTTGAGAAATAAGGACCTTGGGTTTGTACTTTATTTCCATGTCCGTTGTTGCCAAGACCTTGGAGTAGATGCGCTTCGGCAGACGAGAGAAGATGTTCCTCCATGGAGTCCAGATCGAAGAACCAATGTAGAACGATCGTGCAATGGAGAAGATGGCATTGATCAAGACGTAGAACAGGTATGTGTCCAGGAAGAAGAAAATCAGGTCCGTGAAAATCATGAGGCCCAGTGTGATCTTGGGCTGATTTTTGCACAGGATGTCACCACCCAGAAGGTGATCACCTTGACAAGACAGGTGCATAATCGAGAGGTACCTCATGGGATCACGGAACGAGAGTGCCAAGAACACATATGATTCTCCGAATTTGACTCCGAAAACTGTCAGCCACAGGAAATAAGAGACAGCCATGTCATTGAACGGCAGCGACGGCCAAGCAGCCGTGAACGTTTGGCTGGCCACGTATCGTCGAGAGTTGGACACCAAGTAGCTGCCGAACAAGCCACCCAGAGGCATGACGGCGAAGAACAGGAAGGTGATGATGGCGATGATGAAGTGCACGATTCCGAGAGCATGGTCGATTGCGGAGTTGGGGTTCTTGTCCGGGAACATGAAGACCTTGACACCGGGCGCAACATTGAGAACGAGCATAAAGAGGAGGAAGAGCAGCCTCTTGGTGAGATGCTGCGCGCCAGCCCATCTTCTCGGAACATAGGCCCATTCCGCCAAAGTGGCAAGGACTTGAATCAGTGCTGCGATAGCACCACCAAAGCCAACAATGGAGAACTGCTTAGCGGCAGAGGGCGACTGATTGAGCTGTTGCTCGTAGTCCTTCACCAGCAGCGTAGGGGCGTTGTGGGCGGTGTAGAACCAGAACATGGTAAGGTGGATAATCCAGATACGGTTGAAGTTGGTCAGGAGATGGAACCAAGAGCGAGTTTCTCGGTAGGTCTTGAAGAAGCACTTCTTCCAGTTGACATCCTTCAACTTCAGGTAACGCTCGGCCGGAGGGACATCAATGAGCTTGCTCTTATCATGCAATACAATGCGCTCAATACCTTCCGGGTACCAGAAGAGCTGGTTGCAGTCGTCATAACCAATGATGTGCTTGTGGTCTCGTTCACGACGAACGTAGACACCGTTGAGGATTTCGTATCCCTGGTCTCGGCAGTACTGGTACAGTGGCGTGATGATGTTGTTGAGGAAGGTGAATTCGTCCACCGGCTCGACCAGAGCCTGGCACGCGGGAGAGCCAAGATAGTCATGTGCACACTTGAAAATGAAGCAGAGCAGCTCTGGCATGAATCGGACTTGGTTCGCTTCTCCCCAGCAAAGCAGATAAAGAGCAATCTGACGAACTCGGTCGTGCTGCGACATGCGGTTCATCCGAGTTTTCCAACGGTACTCGGCGGCCTCAAGACTGTCGTCGCCTTCGAGTTCCTGCAGCATCTCGGCCTCGTTCGCAGCATCGTCCTGCTTTCCCTTCTTCTTGTTCTTCGCTTTGCGCTTCAACCCCTTGGCAGTGGCATTGGCGAAGCCAACCGAGTCATCCAGATCGAGATGCGCGGCGAAATACCACTTGCGGTAGTTGGCGTTGTCACCACCGATGTAATCAGCGTGCAGGGATAGAAGTGCCTGGTTGGGCGTCATTCGCGAGGCCCTAGAGTCCAGCAGCGTCATGAAGTGGTCGTACATGTTGCGCATGCTGTCTCTTTGGAATCCGAACTTGGCAGTCAGATCGAGGAAGATGTCCTCAATCTCTTCCTTAGACAGAGGGATCTGAGCATCCGAAGTCCAGGCTGGGTAGGGCTCGCGTGAGCGCTGCCCTGCAGGCAGGACGTTGCCATAGTCCATCCCGTAGTTTGGCGTTGACGCGCCCGACGACCGGTTGCCGCCGTAGGAGACCTGGGAGGAAGGGGGTCTGAATCCTCGGTTGCCTGACTGAGGGTCGCCATAGCTGTTGTATCGTTCGTCTCCGCGACCATAGTAGTCCATCTCGGCAGCGCGGGCCATGTCCGACCTCATGGTGAAGTCGCTGAATGTCTCAGAATCTTCCTCAGAGCCCTGACGAGGAGCTTGATCGTAGTAGCCTCCGTGATTCTGATATTCGTCGTGATACTGATCATCGCCATCATAATACCCGCCGTCGTGATGATACGGGTTGTTGGGGTCCGCGTTGTAATATCCTCTGTGTCTCACGGTCAGTCTTGGTCATCGGAAGAAGGAGAAGATAGCATTGGCATCTGGGAGTCGTACGATTCATCATAGTAACCGTCTCCTCCGGGGTTACCGCCATGGGCTCCGCCATGGGCATCGTAATTGTTGTCATAGTACTGATCGTCCTGATAGTAGGAATCGGTGCCTTGTTGGCCGTTTCCGCGTTGGCCGCCTTGACCATAGCCATCATCGTACCCGTCGTGGTGGCCGCCGCCACCGCCGCCAGGATATCCCGACATGTTGAGAAAAAGTTACCTGTGAGAAGGCAAAAGGTCGGGGGTCAGCGGTTGATCCAGTTAATCCAAGACGCGGCAAAAGGGCCTGCCGCCGCTCTGGGCAGTATGATATGGCGCCTTTTCTCACGGGAATGCTTACCTAGTGGTTGGAGTTCATGAATGGACTGAGAATGATGAAAAAAACAGAGTAGAATGAGCGATGGAATGCAAATGGGACAGCGGGCGGAAGCTCGCAGGAACAGAAGCCCAGCTGTGTGACCTAGTGACGAGAGACGCTCTGCAGCAGTTGAATGGTGCTCACTTGTGTTTCAACCACAAGCGGCGATGCGAAGAGCGTGGAAAACACTGGCCAGAACAGAAAGACAAGTCACAGCAAGAACCAAACAGTAACGAGAGACGTAAGTAAGGGCAGGTATGGGAAAGACAAGAAAGATGGATGGCCCGCCAGAACGAAAGACTGCCAAGAACAAGCAGAGCCGTGGGAAAACAGGAAACTTCAGTAGGACGCAGGATCACGTGGAGGAGGCCTGAGCTGCGACTTTAAGGGGGCGCGCCTCCCCCTTTACGGGCCAATAGGGCGGAGAGCGGAACGGAGGTGCTGTGTATCAGCTTGCAAAGGACGGGTGGGGAAGCCAGGAAAGGGGCAGATGGGAGCATGCAAGCAAAGGCACACCTCGCAAAGCGAGCACAGGTACAGGCACGGAGTACGTGCGTCCAAGGTGTGGGACGCGGCGGCGGTGCAGGTACTCGTGCCTGGCCAGCTGGGGACGGCACCGCCGGACGCTTGCCACAGAGACGGCGAGACGACCAGCCAGAGATCCGCAAGCATTCGATGCTAGGTGGTACTATTTACCTTACTATACCTTACCTTCAACTGGGTTCCTAGGAGCTACAACTATAGCTCATCACCGATTCGCCACCTAGGAATTATTAATAGCGATACCCCGGCACGATGCGGCAGGAATTCCAGTGGAATTAAGGACCGCCTGCCTCTCAAACTCGCGAGCATTCCCCTAGCACAGCCCCTCCGTGAGCCGCCATCGTGCTGAGGACGGATTGAGTTCAGGGGGGAAGCTCGGAGTGGCCATCGGAAATACTGCACCTGAAATGCAAGGAACGGATTGGGTGGGTTTCTCTCTGACCGTGCGCGCCACCGTTGCACACACCGTAAGCCACGCAGCAGCCAATAGGTGCATATCGTATCGCGACGGAAGCGGAGCGAGCATGTCCTCGTAAGACGCGTCCAGGCGTCATACACTTGTCAACAACAGGTTGTTCTAGCACGATGGAGCAATCCTGTAGCACCGGCACATCGGCCACGATGGACTGGCACTAACGTATCAGCCTGGAAGCTGGTGGAGCGCTGGTGGCAGATGTGGACTGTCGAAGCAATCTGTCAATGAGCACTTTATCCGCGACGAGCAGCAGCCGAGACGCTGTGAATCGACTGCGGGTTTGTAGATAAGGACTAATATAGTCTAGTCCGCACAAGTACAAGCACGACGCTGCAATACACGCAGCACACGAAGCAGATCAACACCCATTCACGAGATGCCAAAGGCAAATTCGATCATGATTCTGTCATCAGGCATTAGGCATTTTTACTTCGCATCGCCCTCGGGCGTCCTCGCCAATGGAGGACACTTTGGAGGTCTGGGGGTACGAGGTGCTCGTATGGGATGTAGTCGGAGGTGCTGCCCCAATGCGGTAGGAGGTTTCCGTGTGTGCGCCACGCACCAACAGGCGTGCCAACTCTGAAAACTGGATTGCAGATCGAGGTGCCTGGCCTAAGCTGGTGCTAAAGGGAGGCACGGCTTAACAGTGGGGCGCACCATGACTCAGCTGCTGGCTTGATCGGAAAATATCACGTTCCGGCTGCCGTTCGATCTCGCGCCGACCCTAGTCTCTTTTCAGTATGGTCGCTTCCTCAACTGACTAAGGAATTGGATGCCGTCGCGAGGCTTTCGCATTGTAGCAGCAAATTCGCGGCTCACGACGATAGCCACAGGGCGTCCATGGAGCCTGTTGTCGCCTCTCAACCATCCCCTGCCTGTTGCCCGAGAAAACAATTGCATGCCGAGGCGTGGACGCTGCCGTAGCACGAAATGGAGGAAGAGCGCCCCAAGGACGCGACCGATGGCGACGTGGAAATGAAGGAGACCGTCGCCGAAAATAACGTAGACGCGGGAGACAATGCGGGCCAGGATGAGCCTCACGACCTATACCAGACAATCTCCGACTTGTCAAAATACCTATGCAGCGTGGAAGAAAAGTGAGTTCTTGTTGCACCAGAGATTGCGGCGCGTCTACCTGTTTTCTAACAGACCTTCTAGTGGCGAAGAGCTTGCGGCCGGGTTTCAGCGCATTCCGAATCGACGCCTTTTACCTGACTACTTCGACATCATTTCCGAGCCTGTTGCTTTCAGCACGATCCGAGTATGTCTTGAGAGGTTGTCAATTGCCCAGCGGCGGCCTTGTTAACGCAGTAGTAGGGCAAAATCCAGAAGAAGCAGTACACTGCCTTCGCCGAGTTCGTCAAGGACGTCGCCCAGATATGCCATAACGCGCAAGTCTACAATCGCCCTTCGGCACCAATCTTCGGTGCTGCTGAGCGGCTTCGAGAGATCTTCCAGGAGGAACTCAAGAAACTTGTCGATAGCGGCGACATCACGGCCGAAGATGCGCGTCTGCCAGACCTGGGAGAGCTGCCTCCCGTCGAAGAGTCGCCATCGCAGCAGTCTGCAGACGAGGACGAAGACGAGAGGATGAAGGGAACCGGCAATGGCGATGAAGACGACGAGGATGAGGAAGAGGATAGCGACGAGGACTCCGACGATGAAGACTACAAAGGGCGGAATCGGCGACGCTACACATCGGATCGAGGGAGCCGCGCCAATGGCAGAGACGCAAAGGTTCAAACGAGAGGCCGGCCGCCAATGCTCCTTACCCCAACGGAAGCCAGAATCTTCTCCCTCCTTAAAGAGCTTAGGAAGGTCAAGGATGCAGACGGGAGCCCGCTTGCTGCACCGTTCGAGAGGCTTCCAGACAAAGCCGTCGTTCCTGACTACTACCAGATCATCACAAATCCCATTGCGCTGGACAACATCAAGAAGAAGGCGAAGCGAAAGAAGTATCAAACCGTCGATCAGGCGCTATCAGATCTTGAACTCATGTTCGATAATGCCAAGTTGTACAACGAGGATGGCAGCCCGGTGTATGAGGCTGCTGTGAAACTGCAGCAGCAAGCTCGGGTATTGGCAGAGCAAGAAAAGCTGAAGCCAGACGAGCAGTTCCGAGACGAGGATGGGAAACTCCCTCTGGCAAGCATCGAGTACAACGGAGAAACATGGAAAGTCGGTACGTCTTTGGCCCCCCCTACCCCTGCCTTTGCAATCGCTTTTCCTTCTTCTTTACCCTCCTAATCAACTCTCATCCGGCTAACTCGGGGGGGAAACTGCAGGTGACTGGGTGCATATTCGCAATCCCAACGATCTAGCGAAGCCTATTGTTGCGCAGATCTTCCGCACATGGCAGGATCGTGAGGGCCAGAAGTGGATCAACGCATGCTGGTACTACAGGCCGGAGCAAACAGTTCACCGATTCGAAAAGCACTTTTACGAACGTGAAGTTGTCAAGACGGGCCAGTATCGTGACCATCCGATTACCGACGTCATTGACCGCTGCTATGTCATGTTCGTCACTCGATTCAACAAGGGACGGCCGCGAGGACTGGCGCCAGACAAGGAAATCTACGTCTGCGAGTCTCGGTACAACGAGGAGAAGTTCTACTTCAACAAGATCAAGACTTGGGCCAGCTGCCTTCCAGACGAGGTGCGGGACAAGGACTACGAGATGGATCTGTTCGACGTTCCCCGGCCGATGAAGAAGGTTCCCAGCCCGATTAAGCACCTCCTGCGCGACGATGCCAAGGAGACGGACGAGCTCCCGCGACCAACGTGGGGAAGCCCGAACGCTCCCCCCATCATTGGCGCCGTTCATCGTCGGCCACCAGGGCCCAATGTGAGTATATCTATGTTCTCTAGATTGTCTGCGCGTCTTCTCCACGATAGCTGCACTTGGACCTGTCGAGTATCTGGCTGACCAGGAGACTCTTACACCATATAGGAATCGCCTCCCCCCGATGCAATGATGCCTGCGATGCCTGCCCACCCCAAGATACCCGCGGAACCGATGCAGCGCCTGCCCATGAATCCCGGGATGAAAGACGCCACGAGCGAGGCAGCGAGAAACGGAGCCGTGCCCTATGCCATGGTTGGTGCAGTGCCACCTCCGGGCCAGTATTACGGACACCACCACGCACCACATTTCCAGCCGGTCCCCCCAAGCGCCGGATCATCTATCCCACAAACGCCGGTGCCAATTCCTCACCCGCCGCAGCAGACCCCGCCACCGCACATGTCGATGCGACCACTGCAGTACCAACAATATCAGCCTCAGCAGCCCGCGCCCGCGTACATGCAGAATTACAACCCAGCCTACGCTCCACTCCCTATGCACCCTATGCACCACCAGCCGCCGCCGAATCCACGGCCGACAGGATACATGCAAGGTCATAATACCGCAGTTCCCAGGCCGCCAAACATGGGAACGCCCGGCATGGCTCAGGCACATGGCAACATGTATAACCCGCCGCGGCCCCCGGAAGTCTACACGCTGCCAGATAACCTTAACGAAACCCTGCCCCCAGCTGTGCGGCAGGCATTTCAGCACGATGAGGCTGGGCGAGTCTTGTTCTTTGCAGCTGCTCCTCTCGACCGTTCCAGCAAGGGCCTCTCGCCGCTGAGCTCAGGACTCGGCCATAGCGCCAAATATCTTGCTGGACGGAGCAGGTGGCTGGCCGAACGCGAGAAGAAGCGAAAAGAGAGGGATGAGCAATTGACTGCCTTGCGACAGAAACTGCGGCGTACTGAGCAGCAGCCCGACGAGTCTCCCGTTGTCTCACAAGCCGCTCGTGCTCTGGAGTTGTTCTTCCAACACCTGAACCAAGACACTGAGCGTCTGAAGACCGACGTTGGCCTGTAGCTCTTTTCTGGGCTCACTGGGCATGTCCATGAAGAGCCCATACGTCATCATACTTTTAGTCTGCTGTTATCTTACGCACAAGGGTGAACAAGGGTGATTATCGGGGCGGGCGGTGTTTTGGAGTAACCCGGATATACGGTACGGAATGGTATGCTGCCGTACAGTACATTGGAGGGATTATGAACTGAAATTTCAAACGACGAATGAATTGGCGAGCGTCGGGTCTGGGGGCCCACGGGTAATGCTTAATCTGGACGACGGGATCTCTCTAGCTCGACAGGCAAGATTCAATACATGCAGGTCGCCCAGTTCGACGCATTGATCTTCCACGGACATGTCTAGTAGGCGCCGCAGGCTACCTTGCTTTTGTACTTGGCGCGTAATAATATTCAGATTGCTGGAACTGCGGTTCCAGCCCTTTGCCAGTCAGTATGTTGCGCAGATTCAGTCTCGTGCTCCATTGAATAGACTCAGTCACGCCCTTTTCACGGACACTGCCATCGCCACCAACATCCTGGATATCGCTACCGGCAGCCACCAGTCCCTTTGCTTTGTGATGGAACATGATGGTGGGGTTGACGCTGATGCACTTGACGTCGAGGCCGCTGCTTTGGTTCCTCCCCAGTCCATACACGGCGTCTCGGCAGAGCTGTGCTAGGGAATTATCAAAGGCCATGTGCAGGCCATCCACGCTGAGTCCGTAGAGGATCTTCCTCGCTCCGCTCTGGGAAACGGCATACGCGAAAGTGCAGATGGGTGCCGCAGACATGTGGACGATCCTCGTACGCGCCGGGTACTGGGACCAGTCCACGAGCTTGGATACTTGGCTGTAAGGCGGCACGGTCTCATCGTCGTGGATGATATACTTGGTTGACATCTGTGCCCTGTCATCCGGCGGCAGCCCGGCATTCTCTTCGAGCGTCTCCGGGAATGGCTCACCGCAGTGGCCCAGCCACAAGACGTCCCAGCCGTCTCCATAGGGCGAGTGAGGGAGCGTCGAAGCCTCGCGCAGTATGTGGCGGGTGCCATGTGCGATATCATGGAGCTGGGATTTGAGATGGATGTCCCAGTCCATGTCGTCCTCGATGATGAGCGCTGATCCAATCTCCTGCTCGACCACTCTGACATTCTTTTAGACGGGCCTTGGGAACACGAAGATGAGAGGGACCCTTTCACAACACTTACTGCCGGATAGCGTTCATGTGGCCCCTCCAGCTGCCGAGGAAGTTGTCTCGAACTGCCGCTGGATCGATGCCATACGGCACAGCTTTATTCGGGATACTTGAGGGCTTTACACCATCCACCCATTCGATGTCGAAGCCGGTTAGCGACGCCATCAGTTCCAAGGCATCCCGTTTATCTGTACGCTCTGGAAGGCCGATGGCAATGACTTTTTCAAACCCCAATGTCTTATTGGATACTCGTCCGAAATCCAGCTGCATGGCCTCGGCCGATTCCAGGCGTCCATTCTCGGTGCTACCACCTCCTTCAACCGGGGCGGTTTTGATGGCGATTCTGTTGGAGGCGAAGAAGAACTCATCGATGGCAACCAACGCGACGATGTATGTGATGATGACGACTGGCACCACGGCCAGGAGGCGAAGACGAAGACGAATGCCGGATAACCATGCTGAAGCTTTCAACATGTATCTTTGCGCAGGAGATCTCTCCATGTCTCTCGTTTGACCTCGTATGGTGCTCCGTAGGTATGGACACTATGGGGCCAGGAATTCCATAGAGCAGTGTTACTCGCTGAATCTTCAGATCTGTTTGAGACGGTGTTCCAGGCGGAAGGCGGCGGATGGCCAGTGAACGCTGCCGGTGTGTCACAGCTTTCTTTAAAAGGGGGCGGCCGGGGAAGGGTCATGAGTATTCCGCGAACGCGTGTTGCACAAACTCCGTTTGCGTATTGGTTCTGGGTGATCCTCATTGGAAAAGTCGCGACATTCTCAAGGGATGACCCATGTGGTTGGCGACTGTCGCCCTTTGCGGCCATGTTTTGATAAAGGGCCGTGTCTTCGTTTACGAGGTCGACTCAGCTTAGGTGCAGCCTTGCATGCTACGGGACACATATACGGCAGTGTCTAGATGCGCGTTGACGCAGCTATTCATAAATGTCTCGCTCTCATGACCGAATGCGTCCACGGAACGATAAGTTCCCGGTCTACTCCGGACTTCAGTGTACATTGACAGACTGTCCGTCACCGCGAACTCGGTCGAATGTATTAGGCGAGGATCAACTCTCTCAACTGACGCCACAAGGCTGGGTCATTGATGGGTTGCACAACGTTCCGAAGAGAAGGCTGCATGTATCGCAAGATACCCGGGACCGGCGGGACCAACAGCTCTTTCGTCAAGCTTTTTGGTCCGTAAATGGCGCTGCGAGGTGGAAGAGCGCTAATAATGGATTCTCTATACATACGTACTACTATCGGGATCTCAATAGCCGAAGGGTCTCCATCATCTGTTGCCACCAGTTGGTTTCGTCTCTCGAATGCCGAGTTATGTAGGGCCGTAGCTGTGGAACGAGGGCCTTTTTTCTCCCATCGAGGACTATCTATTACGTTTGCTGTGGGCATGTTACATAATCTGCGCGCACAAGTTCAACACTGACATTCTTGCCTTGTCACGTTGACGGCGACGTGGCCAGGTATGACATAGAGCCCTCTGGAAGCTGCAGGGAATCGATGTTCTGCACCGTGGCCAACAGCGGTTGCATGTATGTATTGTATGTAAGATATCGTGACTGCTTATTATAAGGTACGGATGGAATCAAGAGGTCGCCAGGCTGCCCTGTATTTATAGCAGTGTTTATACCTGTGCCTTACCCGTAAATGGAACGGGGGGCCCACCGATGGCCTGGGACGCGGTTACATGCAGATACGCATCGAGAGCCAGATTGGTGGGAGAGAGGGCGGATGTAATGCTCCGTCACCAGGGACTAGGAAGGCAGGCAATGCCTTGACAGGGCAGGGGAGGAGCCACCACAGACAGACAGAAGAGTGGAAAGAGGCGTGCCGCAGCTGAGCATGAAAGTAAGGTAAGGTAGGTACAGCACGCACATGCTGCTAAGACGCGGGTATTGTGTGGTAGGCTGCGGCTACTGAAGCACGCACAGGTCGGCACATGCCTTGCCTACAGTACTAGCAGGTACTGCCTTGCCTACTAAGGGTACTCGATAGTACTAAGATACTATACTGTAGTCGCAGGCACTGCCTTACCTAAGGGATAGTCCTGTCGGTAGTACCTGACCTTTTTGCGTGTAGGTAGGACTGCGGTCCCCAAAACATCTCCCATGCAACGCCACATTGCCGAACCAACTTGACGAGCTACATATGACAGATGCTGGTGTCGGGACGCCGCCATATCCTCAGCTTGCCAGCAGCTGACGTGCCCTGTCTCTTGCGCCTTTCCCCTAGCGCGCTCGTCGAGGGGTCGTTTGATCCTCCGCCCAGCCGACAGAGCGGTGGTCGCATCTTTGCTGGGTAGAGAAAAAGGTGGTGGATGCCGTGCAGAGATATCCGATATCCGATATTCGCACAAGAAGACTGCAGCCGCAGCCGCAACCACAGCCGCAACCCTTGACCCCCATCGTCGTCTGTACGCCCGCGACTCTGCACACAGCGTCGCAAGCCTCGTCCGAGCGACTTCGACTGCCGAACCAGAAGCTCGAACCCGTGTTCCACCCCGCATGCGTATGGTCAGATCAGCTCATATCACATCCCAACCCTCATTTGTGCCCGCCGAAGCGACGACAGACCGAAGACTGGCACCACGATCCGACACCCCACGGACGGCGCCTCGTCTCTCCCTCATCCTTTGCCGAGCGATACAGTGAATCTTGTGTACTTGGTCAGATGCTGCCGCCATGGAAGGCTACTACCAGACGAACCAGTTGCCCCCCCAGCAGCTGGACGGCCAGCTTCCACATCCGCCGGACGAACAGCATCCGACTCACCTCCCCCCCAATGTTTTAGACATGTCGATGCAGGATCCCACGCTGCCCCCCGAGCTTCAGCAGCAGCTTCATCAGTCACGATCGGCCATGTCCAACAATCCGATGATATCAGGCCAGGCCGTGCTCCAGGACGGCCACATGGATGACGTGATGCGCGACGGCCACCATGACATCCAGCGACGAAGAAGCATGCCCCAGGCCTACGGGAACGCCCTGGGCCCTGCTCCGCAGGGCAACCCGCCTCGACGCATGTCAACGATCGGGCCCAGAGACATGATGGGGTTCGACGCCGGACCTGCTGGCTTTGGCAATTATCAGTTCGACCCGGATATGCAGACTCCCTTCTCCGCCATGAGCGCCAGCATCGGCATGCAGGATCCGATGGGCGGCTACGTGGCCGATGCTGGCAGCTTCTCGGGCATGCCCCAGGACCTCATGGGCAACATGATGCAGTCTCAGTTTGCGAACATGGACATGGGCGGATTGGCTGCCGAGCCTTCGGCAATGGATCTATTCCCCGGCACAAGTGGCCAAGCATCAGATCTCACTGCTACGTCCATCGCCAGCCAGATGGATGCAAACCAGCTCGCATCCGGCGACGATGGCTATGCCCTGACCGGCAGCGCCGCCGGCGCATCACTAGGTGGTCGCTCAAACGGCGGCCACAAGGGCATGGCATTGGGGCACGACGAAGACTTGATGAATGCTCCGCCTCCACAGTTCCAGACGATGACCTCCGGCCCTTCTCACCTTTCCATGGAAACGGACATGGTGGCATTTGAACCAAGCATGCCTTCTCCTCTTCCCGGATCAGTGCCTGCCATGTCGGCCCAGCAAAGCTCAGCATCCATGGACATGGCCCAGCCAAGCCCCGCCTCCGCGACTCCAAACCCGGTTCCGAATACCAGTGACCAGTCCAAGGAAAAGACCATCTACTCGAAAAGCGGCTTTGACATGCTCAAAGCGCTGTGGCTCGTCGCGACTCGCAAGAACCCCAAGATCCATCTCGGGGCTGTCGACATGTCCTGTGCCTTTGTCGTTTGTGATGTCACGATGAATGACTGCCCTATAATATATGTATCAGACAACTTCCAGAACCTCACTGGGTACAGCCGCCATGAGATTATGGGCAAGAATTGTCGCTTCCTCCAGGCACCCGATGGAAAGGTCGAGGCTGGCTCAAAACGAGAGTTTGTTGATGACGGAGCCGTGTTCAACCTCAAGAGGATGATCCAGGAGGGCCGGGAGGTGCAGCAAAGTTTGATCAACTATCGCAAGGGCGGAAAGCCGTTCCTGAACCTATTAACAATGATACCTATCCCCTGGGATACCGATGAGATCAGATACTTCATCGGCTTCCAGATCGACCTCGTTGAATGTCCCGACGCCATTTCTGGCCAGGAAATGGGCGGCGTCAAAGTCAACTACAAGCACAGCGACATTGGTCAATACATATGGACTCCGCCAGTGTCAAATCAGTTGGAGTCTGACAACGGACAGACACTTGGCGTCGACGACGTCTCTACCCTCCTACAGCAGTTTAACCCCAATGGGCTTGTGTCGGATTGGCATAGGCAGTCCTGGGATAAGATGCTTCTCGAAAATACCGACGACGTGGTCCATGTCATATCCCTCAAGGGCCTCTTCCTCTATCTCTCGCCCTCGTGTAAACGCGTTCTCGAATACGACGCCGCGGACCTGGTTGGAAACCCCTTGTCTTCGGTTTGCCATCCCTCGGACATAGTTCCGGTGACACGGGAGCTGAAAGACGCAACGACGGGCAGCCAAGTCAACATCGTGTTCAGAATACGGCGGAAGCAGAGCGGCTATACTTGGTTTGAGAGCCACGGGTCATTGTTTGTCGATCAGGGCAGAGGCCGCAAGTGCATCATTCTGGTTGGCAGAAAGCGGCCCGTCTTTGCCCTTGGGAGACACACTTTGGAAGCGAACGGCGGCATCGGTGATAGCGAGCTCTGGAGCAAATTGTCCACGTCTGGCATGTTTCTCTCGGTTTCGGCAAACATCAGGTCCCTTTTGGATTTACAGCCCGAGTCTTTGGTCGGTACAAGCATCCAGGAACTCATGCGCAAGGAATCACGGGCAGAGTTTGGACGTACGATCGAAAAGGCAAGGAAGGGCAAGATATCTACCTGCAAGCATGAGATGCTTAATCGGCGAGGGCAGGGACTCCAGGCTCAAACCATCCTGTACCCCGGAGACGCCTCAGAAGGCCAGAAGCCGTCCTTTGTCCTGGCTCAGACGAAGCTTTTGAAAGCCTCGTCCCGTCATGCTCCATCGACTCTTACTGCCGCGAACGCGTTATATGGCGCCAACTCGTTAAGGGCTGATATCCAACACCAGGGCCATGGTGGCCCGATGCTTCAGCCGGCAGGCGGGGCGCTTGTCCCAGGCTCCCAGGATGCCGCTCTGGCGTCCGACGACAACATCTTCGATGAACTCAGAACCACCAAATGCTCAAGCTGGCAGTTCGAGCTTCGACAGATGGAGAAGATCAATCGTATCTTGGCCGAGGAGCTTGGTGGCTTACTGTCGAACAAGAAGAAGCGGAAAAGAAGAAAGGGCGTCGGGAATGTGGCGCGCGATTGCGCCAACTGCCACACTCGAAATACTCCAGAATGGCGGAGAGGGCCAAGCGGACAGCGAGACTTGTGCAATAGCTGTGGCCTACGATGGGCTAAACAGGTGAGAATCAGCAGCCTCCCCCTTAAACCTTGAATACGATGTGGTTGCTGACACCCAAACTAGACTGGCCGAGTCTCCCCACGCAACTCCACGCGAGGAAGCCACAGCGTGAATACTGACACTCAGACTAAGAAATCCACGTCTCCCATCCATTCCTCACCGCTGCACAGGAGCGAGACACCAAATCCAATACATAGCAACGGCGAGAATCTTCTGGACCCAAAGCAGCTGGCAAGCAAGATCGCTGTGGCTTCGGGTGGCTCGGGCTCGATGGGGGGACCACATGCCTCGTCCTCTTCCACCATGCCGCCTCCAAGCCAGTCATCTCTAGCCCACGGCGCTGTCAGCTCGGGAATGGCATCGATACGAGAAGAACGCGAAAGCAGCCAAACATGACTGACTGGCAAAGCTCGTGTTCTCCATCAACTATTACTACTTTGACTTGCTCATCGGATGCGAGAAGAGGCTGGCCTACCTCTCGACCCCCTTCTTCTTTTCTATTCTGGTTGCCCTTTCTTGCTACCTGTACAGTCATTGCAAAACACCGTACACGACTTTTACCCCCCGTCTTTAACTTGATCTGCCACAGCATATGTCTAGCGGAATTTTGCGAAATCGTGGCCGGTCACTTGTTATGGAGGAGAACCCATATTACTCTATTCTTTGGATACCAGGCACCTGGCCCCTTTTACCCCAACCTTGGAAGCAATATGTTTTTTTTTATTTGGCGGCGGATGCAAACGATACCACTTGTACATATATATACTGCCTGTATACTACATACTTTCTTACCCACTTCTGTCCTACACAATGGGCGTGTCGCTGGCTTTTTAGATTTCCGAGTTGATGATGCGGTAATGCCGGGAAGCCAGTAGCCAGTAGCAATCTTGACCTCCAGCTAGAGAAATAGACGACACCGTACATAGTGCAGTTCACTTCGTGAGGTATCCTGTGGTATTGCCGATATACATCATATTCTACCTATATTGGTATATCTAGACTTATTTCAAAACTTCTAGAAAGTCGTCTAGTTCGATAACGCGAAACCTGTCACGCCATTGAGACATCCACTGCTTATCAATCCATCTGAGTGAGAGGTTGCCTCGCCAGGAGACAACCTCGACGTTCCAGCCCATCTTGAGGGCTCTTTGCACGCATGAAAAGAATCCATCCGAGTGCGGAGATGGCTTGGCATCCCCTGTAGCGAGTACAATGGTTCCCGGCGTACGGAAATATTCCATGACGGACTCGGCAATGCGGACTTGCAGAGTCTCGTCCACAAGGTCCTCCACATAGCGTAGAGTGTCGGGCGCGCCGGCTGAGGGCAGTCCGACTTCGACGACCCTCTTACGCTCCCTAAGATCGATTTGATACCCCAGGTCTCGCAGCTGCTGCACGTAGCGAGGCTCCGAACGACCCGGGACGGTAGAACAGCCCACATTAAGGGCGACCACCTGCCGATCCCGAACAAGGATTTTGGTCAGGAACTGCAGGTTCAGGTGAGGCAACGGCGATAGACGAGCACGGTCGTCCAGATGCCGAGCCTCCTTCAGCGTGCTCTGAAACCCAATGTCGATATTGGACATGTCGACGAAGACATGTACGCCTTGCGACGTGATTTCGGGGTGCTTTTCAGCTATGGCGGCGTCTCGAACCCGATATGGGATGAGGCCCATCATGAGCGCTCCGTGCTTGTCTTCTTTCAGACGAAGCTTTTCTCGCGGCTTGTTGGTCACAGCCCGAGAACGGTGCGTGGTGGTAGCCGACGGCGAGCACTCGGGGCACTCCGGGGGAGGCGTAGCCAACGAGAGTGGCTGCTGGACCGTCCGAAGCCCCCGAATGCAAGTACAGCGCCGATGAGACGGCGGAGAGGATGCTATTCCGGAATGGCCACCGGCCTTCACTGGAATAGCGTGCTTGATCTCCCGCGGAGAGCCATGGGTGACGGCGCTCGCGCGGGATCGTTTGGTAGAGGCATCGTTGGGATACCGAGTCAGGGTGGCGTCATCGAGCGATTGGTCAGGGATACGGTCGGACGCAGCCGACGACAGGCTGGTGGCCTTTAGGGCGGGCGAAGAGTCATCGTCGTAGTAGTCGCTTGCTTCCGACGACGAGAAGGCGAGGGTGGGAGAGTCGAGGAGCTCGGCGTACAATCTGCTGAAGTCTCCGAGCTTTGCCGGGTTCACAGGGGCATGAGATGCGGCGGCGGCAGTCTCAATTCCTTCTATGTGATGGGCATCTGGATTGTAAATCATGGACGGTGTAAGAAAGAAAACAGACGAGATATATTATAGTATATGGTGTATATGCGTGTGAAGAGAAGAAGAAGAGAAGAAGAAGCAACAAGCTATGGATTTACATAGTCGTGGTTTCATGGGATGGAGGTTTAGGCATCAAGGGCTGCTGGGCGCAGGAGGTTAATTAATGAATGACGGGCAGATAGTCACTCAGTCCATGCACGCGACCACTTCCACTGGTAGACGCCGCCTTAGGTAAGCATGGATATCAGATGTCAGCCATCGAGACCGAGACCCTCGTATGTATCTCTTGCACCAGTTACGGCACATGCATACCGCTGTATCTCACTCACAGTTTGTTCACCTGTTCCTGATAAGGTACTCAGAGAGAAAATGACAAGAGACTTTGTAATTCGACAAAGAAATGTGACTACTAGTAATATTTTAAGCATCTGAAGATCGAATTCCCCGTCTCTGTGCATTCAACGCTGGACCTCTGGCTGTTACTGCTTTAGGCAACAGGCGAGTCCTATGACATAAGTCGGTCGCCCGCGGCACATGGACATGCCTACAGGGTATCCGTACCTCGTACCTACAGTGACAACATCGCCCGCCGGAAACCTCGTCCTCTCAACAATCCCCATCAACCATGGATTCCAACATCAGCGTCGACCTCGGACGGTACCGGCGAATCATGCAGATGTTCTGGGACCCCGAGCCGTCCAACGATGTGAACAGCGACGAGCCTGTCTGGTGCCTGGGCCGCTCTTACAAGCTCGACCCCAGCAAGCAGCACAGCTCCGGAACCATACAGACGGCGACGAAACCGGCCGGCCACGACACAGAGACCGGCGCGTCACCTCCGAACCAGAGCCCCCTGCCCCCGTCGAAGCCGTCTACAAACGCAAATGCGCCGGAGACACCGCCGGCGTCAACCTCGAGCAGCCTCTCGTCAGCAGCGGCGGCGGGCGAGGAGCTGCCGCTGGGGAACGGGTGGCCCCCAGGCTTCACGGAAGACATGGCGGCAAAGTTCTGGATGACATACAGATCTGGATTTGAACCTATACCCAAGTCCGCTGACCCGAGGGCTACTTCTGCGCTTTCGTTTTCTGTAAGGATCAAAAGCACACTCACGGATCCGACTGGCTTCTCTTCCGACAGTGGTTGGGGTTGCATGATTCGGTCTGGCCAGAGCCTTCTTGCTACCACTATTGCAACGCTTCAGCTAGGAAGAGGTATATTTTCCCCCCCTCAGATCGAATCATGCCTTACAAGAGAGAGAGGCCTGACTCAAAACCCCCTGCTAGATTGGCGGCGCGGTCAGAATCAACAGGAGGAACGGAAGATCATCAGCATGTTTGCCGACGACCCAAGGGCACCCTTTTCGATCCATAACTTCGTACGCCACGGGGCTACTGCTTGTGGGAAATTTCCGGGCGAGTGGTTTGGCCCGTCTGCTACTGCGCAGTGCATACAGTATGCGAACCCTTTGGACTGCCCCCGAGCCTTCAAAAGGTGATTGTGACTGCTGACACGTTGGGACACAGAGCCCTTACCAGCTCCTCAGGACTTCCTCTGCAGGTATACTCCCCGAATGACGGGCAGGATGTTTACGAGGATAGCTTCATGAAGGTTGCAAAGCCCGATGACCAAGATTTCCGCCCAACCTTGATCCTCATACGAACGCGCCTCGGTATTGACAAAATCACGCCGATATATTGGGAGCCTCTGATCGCCGCACTCCAGATGCCACAGTCGGTTGGCATTGCTGGGTAAGTAGTACCATTGATGTAGATACAGCTGCAGCTAATGTTCTAATGTTATTCTTAGCGGCCGTCCATCGTCTTCCCACTATTTCGTCGGCAGCCAGGGCAGCTACCTCTTCTATCTCGATCCTCATCACACAAGAAAGGCCATTCCATACCATGAAGATGTAGCAAACTATACGGACGAAGACATCGACTCATGTCATACCTCGAGACTACGTCGGCTCCACGTCAAAGAGATGGACCCCAGCATGCTGATAGGCTTCCTTATTCGGTCCGAGAGTGACTGGGCCGACTGGAGGCAGCGTGTAGAGAGCGGCCAGGGGAAAGCCATCATCCACGTGGCAGACCGCGAGCACACGTTGTACAGCGGCGAGGGCAGGGATGGTGCCGTGGATGAGGTTGAGGTCCTGAGCGATGACGATGATGTTGATGATATGGCGACAACGTGATCGTGCCGTCGGGAGCCGTTTCAGACAAGATGCTCTCCGCCGTGCACGGATAGGTTTGTCGTGGTCCTTCTTTTCAACCAGCAACCATAACCGGTGTTACGGCGCTTTATCTATTTGATATCCCTCATCATGGGCCAGCATATTGACAGAACAGCGCGATGCGAGAATGCGGCATGTCGGCTGAAGAGGCCTTCATGCTTTCCTCCTTTTTCCTGCCCCACCGGACTGGACAGTGGCCGCGGCGTGGTTCAGGTCGCGGATATGTTTAAATAGCTTCGTCTTGGAGTCGAACTCAGCTGTGCAGACGTTGCATCGATGCTGTGTCAATGTTTGGTCAATACATGTCGAACCCACTAATTAGCCTATGAGAATACGAAACCTACCTCGTTCTCGGCCGTCATGGCCGCAGCTTTCTTTTGTCGCTTGAGCTTTGCCTTTCCGATCTTTACTTTCGGTTTCGTGTCGTCAACTGAGGGCTCCTCCTGAGGTTGCTCTGGTGAATCGCCCTGTGTCTCCTCATCAAGATCGACGCGTATTGAGTCGCCTTCACTCGTCGATCTCAGATTCAGCTTGTCAAATGATTCGTCGAGCTTGTCGTCGTGACTTGCTTCTTCACCTGCTTCTGATACACCTTTGGGCGCTGATGCTTCATCTTCAGTGACTGCTTCCTGCCCTTGCGTGTTCGCTTGTCCCAATTCATCCGGCTTCTCCTCAGGCAGAGAAGGTGAAATCTCAGGCCCTACGTTTGTAGCTTCTGCATCCCGTGAAGCTTCCGCATCCGAAGTCGTTGCCTCCAGGTCGAGATTTGCTGTCTCCTTCTTCAACTGGCGCCGTAGGTCCTGAACAGCCTTGATGTGCTTTTTGCTGCGCTCATGGGATTCGAACTGCTTCTCGCTCTTGAACCGTTTATTGCACACCACGCATTCCAGGATCTCGGTTTCAGACTCCTCAGACTCTGACGGCTGGTCCTCTTCTTTCCCGTCTTCCTTGGGCAGCACCCAGTCCGGCACTTCGAATGACGAATGCACATCCTTGTTTGCGGCTCGTGATCGCGCAGCTTGCGCAACAGCAGCGGTCCGAAGCGACTTGTGGCGATCTGCCTCGCTTTGGTTGTTGGGAACGTAGCGCGGGTCTCGCTTCTTGACGAACGAGACGAGGAATCGGACAGCGTCGTTGAACTCCTTGATTGCGTCGTCTCGAATCTTTTTGTTTTCCTTCTCCATCCATCGCCTGGTCCTGCGATCCGGAGCATCTGAGAGGCGGAACTTATCCTGCCACATGAATGATTTCTTCGTGCTGAAGCCGGTCCAGGCATTATAAAACGGCTTCACAGTGCTATCGAACTCATCGTCGGCTGAGCCAAAGGTAGGGTACTCGGGACACTCGGTGCCATCGTAGTCGGCAGCAGCCTCTTCCTCTTCAGCGAGGTGCTCAAACGTCTCTCTCGTGATGGTGAAGAAGCCGTTGGCGTCATCAGTGTAGGGAACGACGGTGACGTTGAAGCGAGAGATGAGACGCATGATGTCGTCCGCCGTGGTAAGGCGGACATTGTGAAATGTCGGAGGCGCAGAGGCGTCCTGTGAATCGTCCTGGCCGCTGAGGATGCTGTCACGATGTGAGTCGTACCAGGCTCTTTCCTGAGGGTCGGACAGGATGTCATATGCAGCTTGAACTTCGGCAAACTTCTTCGTGGCCGCTTCAACGTTGTTGAAGTTGCGATCTGGGTGCAATTCCAGGGCCTTCTTGCGATATGCCTTCTTTATTCTAACAGTCTTTGATGAATATTTTGAACCAGCTCAGGGAGTTTTAATCATAAGAGCTTACTCAATATCAGTGGCAGTCCTTTCAACTTCTAAGAGTTCATAATAGCATGTTCTTTGGGTGGTCTCAGTGTCGGTGCGGCGCGATCCCGCATTTGAGGACTGTTCAGCCCCCATGGTGACGGATAGCTATATGAGTGATGAATGGTACAGGGCCGGTCCGGGTGCAGGAGACTCTTCTCTGAGTATTGGACAGGTTCACGCTTGAAACTGGTGGGATATATACATATATAGGTATATGCATGAGATCTACTTACACGGTCATGGAAGTTTTTCAGTACAGTTGCCTGCTCGCCTCAAGCTTGAAATTACATAATCAGTCCTCTTTTTGCTCGTCTTTCCTCTGTTTTCTTTTTTCGCTTTTCTCTTATTTTTCCCCCTGTACGCCGTAGGGACCAGTTCAAGCCTTGGAAAGGTTAGCACGTCCTTGGAGGGGCTAGACTGTGCTCGGTGTGACTGCTTTTCTTTCGCCAGATACGTCACCCATAATAATAAATTCATTCGCGTTCAGTTTACACACAATCCACCACCAAAATACTACTAGTACCTATCCTGGATCTGACTGTTTACGCGAATCACAACAGCAATGGTGCCGCCAACAGCCCCGGACGTTCACCAGAGCGGCGGAAGACATGCAGATGCGCGCACATGGACATCGCGACCTACCACCCCGCTTCGCCCGCCTTCACAGTCGTCGTTCCGCGGGTCTGTCCATGCTACAGGCGACGGCGATGCTGCGTTTCCTCTCAAGAGGCTGGAGCCCGCGTTCGCGGAGCTCTCCGATGCCATGGCTGATCTCGAGGCAAACATGATGCATTTCCAGCTCATCGACGAAAGCTTGGCCCGTTTTGGCGAATCCTTCGCCAGCTTTCTCTACGGCCTTAACATGAACGCGTTTTGCGTCGACTTTCCCGAGGTGCTACTGCTACTACTGCTTGCGAAGTCTGTTTGTCAATGCGACTTGATCTGACTCTGTATTGCCTTTCGTATCTAGTGCCCCGTTCCCCAGTCATTCCGTCGAGACCGTCAGCACCTCAGTCAGCCCAGCACCACGGATGTGAAGCCCGGGCACGACGGGGAAGCGACTTATATGTAAGCGCCCTTATTCGAAGGATCCAATCATCTATCAAGGCTTGAGGCACTGCATCCGTTTGCTGACGGCAGCAAAGGACTACCGACACATCTTTCGTGGAGAGCCCTCCCAAGTCGACAGGACCCAGTCTGAAGCACAATGTCCCTGGGCATCGCCAGTCTCGACTACCATCAGCACGAGGCATCTCAACAAGAGGCAGGCCCGGCGTTCGTTCCTCTAGTCGGCCTAGTAGTCTTGTAAGACCGCGTGGGCGGGCTTTGAGATAGGAAGAGACTTTGACCAAGTTTGGTGCTGATCCATAGCGGGTTTGTATAAACTACGGCGTCGGCCGCCGTCCGATGGAGATCCAAATACCAGCCTACAGAACCATTTCAACGCCAGCATCGGTAGGATCTTGCGCTGTCTCTGGCTTGTCGAGATTCAGATCGTTCGATTGTCCGGGTTTCGAGGTGGCCTTGGATTCGTCTCGCAGCTGCTTCAACCTTTGCAGAATCTGTCAGTCGAGGCGAAAGAGAACCAAAAGGCACAATGCCAACGCCGACTTACCTTCTCTTGTGCGGCTTTCCGCGCTCGTGGGTAGCCAGGGTAAAGGGAGTGTCAAACCACCTGGCACATGCAACACAGTAATTCTTCCCAAGCCCGGGGAGATCCTGAGGCAACTTGGTCTCTTTGTATTGTGTCAGGTGTTTGTGGGATCGAAGATCGGATATGACTTGGTCCACATCCCTATCCAAAGGTTAGCTTGAGGATAATGGCCTTGAATCAAATGACTTCCATACCGTGTCTTCCGTCTTGTTTTGGTGAGCGTGCGCTTGTTTCCGACACCCATTGTGATCAATGTGGGAATCAAATCAAAAATGCCGATTGGGTGAGTAGCAAGCAGAGGTTCTCCTGGAGATTTCCAAGTCGTACGTTGTCACTTGTGATGGTGCAAGGTCGAGGTTGCGCCTTTGAGAAATTTTGGTATATTTAAGTGCGTAAAGCACTAGCGCATCGCCGTCGGAAAGGAAAAAAAGAAGAAATTCACAACAGACAAACTGTCGGGGTCGATGGCGATGGATACGTACGAAGCACCAGCTCTACAGCAGTTCTGGTTTACAGGTTCCTCTTCCTCGTTTCTTTTTTCCCTTATCTCTACTTTTTTATCTTCTTTTTTTTTTAGGCAAAAAAAGAAACGTCGGAAAAAAAGAGGGAGCCGGAATATAGACTAAACCTGAAAGGGTAGGTAAGTTACTGATGGCCAAAGGCCAGAGCGGACATTGTCACGAAGGATTCACGAAGGATTCACTCCGCAGCGCCAGAATGTTTTTGTTGGAAAAACAATTCGTGGCGCCGACGATACCGTACTTGACTCTGAGCACAGGCAAAACGGGATGTTGTATCAACGTCAAGCCAAGTTGTATTCGATCAGCAAGCTAATCTACTTCTCTTGTCAAGATTTAGAGGATGTCCCACGCATCCTCGGCCGCGTGGCAGAACTTGCTGCACGCCACACTTGCTGATAGCGAGAAATTGCTGATGGAGATCTTCTCATCAACTATTGAGTCGGCAAAAGTGTCGGCACCCTTTGCCATGGCTCCAACGAACACGCAGATGCTCTCTTTGGGGCCAAGCGTCTCCATGTACTCGCGTACGCGAACTACGGGAGCGTCGAAGCTGAGCGTTACCTTGCGGCAGTTTGGCGGCAGGTGATCCGTAATTGGATTCTGAATCACTCGCAGAAGCTTCTCGTTGGAAGTCGTGGAGCGAATTGACAGCCGGTGCAGGAGCTGCACCATGAGGCCTGCAAATCGCTTGAAAGTCCGGGGTATACGCACGGAGGGTGATACCTCGATAAGCACTCCTTTAGCTGTGTGAATGTAAATTTGGAGTCTGCCGGCTTTGTTGATCGGTGAGTCCAGGAGGGTCAGTAAGCACTGCGATCGTTAGTTAAGATGCCTCCCACGTCTATAGGCCCAGAAAAGCACAACCTGATGCGCGATGTCCGGTCGTGCATCGCTAATGTCGCGGTTCATCTTGCGCATAACACCTATATGCTCATCGCTGTTGAGGAGCGAGTACTTTTCCTCTCGGTGGAGCCCAGCGCGGTTGACGCCTCCCTGCACCGCCTTGTATGTCTCAAGGCTGGCATTGGAGAGCACGACAATCAGCCGCTGGGAATCTTTGTCGGTGGCCGGAATGGGAGTCTTCTGTTCAGCAACCAGCTGGGGCAATGACGGCGGTGGGAGCGACTGCGTTCCTGCGTGAAATGCCATGATTAGCCAACTCTTTGACCAGTCTTGACAAGCAGTTACATCAAGCAGAGACACTTACTAGGCCGTTTCACTCCGGTACGACGATCAGGGGACGACATTGCCTGCGTTTTTGGAGACCAGACGCTGCTGCAGTGGAAGAACGGTGAGAGAGATCTGGCACTTGCTCAAGAAGGATTACCAAGGATAGTGCGCGGGCGTAAGCAATGTAATAAGGAAGAGATTGACTGCATGGTAACCATATCGTGGAAACGCAGGCTCTGACGCGCTACCTTATTCGGCAGGCGGTGCGACCAGGCAGAATGACAGGCAATCCTCACCAACCCGCTTACAGCAGTGTTAGTACCTAAGGTACTACTAGTATCAGGCATATCAAATAGACACCTACCTTAGGTCGTAGAGTGTAGTATGAAAATAAGGTATTCTGCATTGATGGATCAATCATTATCTGTATTTTTTTGTCTTCTTTCCCATGTTGAATTTGCAGTATGTACAGTAATCTATCGAAATGCAAAATCCCAAGTGTACAGTCGGTATCCCTACCAGATACTACCATCAAATCTCCTCTCATTAAAGCAGATGTTACCCTTGTTGTCATGTAATTCACTCTACCCAATGCTATATCTTAGCAGTTCCCGACCAATATCTTTCCAACTTCCGACTTCCCAAGTGCACCATTAAATGCCAAGCAGTGGCTGTAAGATCCTTTGTATTTGTTCACTGGCTATCGATCAGCGCATATCTTGAATGAACCTTAGCTTCCCATCGACCAGGGCCACTGCTAGCTGAAAAATCCCATAATCGTTCGCTGAGACTCTGGAGAGAACTGCTGCAGCAGTGGCATCGGGTCTACATTGGCAGCTGTTAGAAGGGCCTTCGCCGCGGCTGCTACGCGGCTGGCTGTTTGTCCCTGGAGTGTTTCCGCTTCCAGGGCCTGTGCGATAAATACAAAAACCTTGCCGGCCTGATTCATTACGGATGGGTATTGTCTGCGAGTTGAAGTTAGCCACGTGCTCATGTCTCCATCATCATCCCCGACACAATGCAAGCCGAGACATGTCACTCACCGATCGATCAGCTCTGCCAGATATGCATAAGCATACGGCGCCGCTTCTTCATCATTCGTGACTGGTAAGGTATCAATCCATCGCGTGATTACGGTGGGAACATCGTCGACGTTGGTTGAATTGTAATGAAGGATCTTAGCAATGGCGGCCGATGCATTTTCCGTCGCATACACATTATCCTCGTTCCGGGCGTCGGGCACTTGTGTGACTTGGAAGAGGTACGGTACGGATCCGCCGAGGAAGGGTGACCATGCAGCGCCACCTCTGTGTGCTGCAACACCGATACCGTATGCAGCCGCCTGGCGAATTGCGGCAGAGGCATCCTGGCAGCCGTCGATGAGAGGCTGCTGGATATAGGACGCATATCGGACACTCTGCGGGCCACAGTACTCCAAAACGTCGTCCATGATGCAAAGACCCCATTGTCGCTGAGTTGGATCGGGCGATGCGAGAAACCCTTCATATGTTGACATAAGGCGCTCCCAGGCAGGCAAAAATGCAACGCCGTGATTCTTGAAAATGGAATGGAATGCTTTGTTCATATCAGACAGAAGAGTCTGGTCGTCCTCGATTGCGATCAGAGTCTCCTCTGCTTCGTCCTCAAAGTCATCAGCAGTTGCGCCCTCTTTGGCATCGGCACGCTCCGCAACCCGATCCTTATAGTCTTCGAGTGCAGAAAGAGCAGAGTCGATGAAGCGATTCATGTGGTCTATCGTCAGGCACCCTTTACCAAGGACTTGCACGGACTCATAGAAACACTGATACATTTCCGCAAGAGTGTCGATCCCAGGTTCGGCAGTGAGCACCTCCAATAGCTTATCGACCGTTGCATTCCACAGACCAGTGAGTTCGTTCGAGGGGTTTCCGTACGCCTTTTTGTAGGAGCTCAGCAGTTGTGGGACAAGCTTGGCCGAGATATAGCGGACAGGGTCGTGAAAGAAGAATGAGAGGCCAGGCAGTGCGATCTTCTCCATGATAGTGGCAACGTAGGGTGCAAATGCACCTTCGAGCACCTGGGCATAAACGACCAAGAGTTCGATGGCCATATTTTTGTCATCCATGGTGCTAGTGCGAATACCAATCATTTTTCCTTTGAGTGGTACGAATTCCCAGCCCTCTTCTCCTTGCATTTGTTCTGCTTGCTCATCGTCGTCCAAGAGCTGGATGTCGGGCTTAGCCATGGCAAGCTCGAGAAGCGGCGGCATGACATTGTCCAGGAAAGGAATGAAGTCGGTACCGAGGACACGACACATGCGGCCCCAGCAATGCATCAGATATTGAGCCTGGGGGTCGTCTGCGTCCGTGATGTTTGTTTGAATGTGTGCCAGCAGATTCACGAGTGTCATGGCATCCTGGCCAAGGCGCTCTTTTCCAACGGCAAGAGCGATGAGAGTTGCGCATTCCATTGCTTTTGCCCGTAGTAGCCTATATTCTCTTTCATTCTGGGTCTGAAGGACGTTGACGAGGAGAGGCATCAGGGTATCGTAGTATTTCGCAAATGCTGCTTCGGCGGCATCGGCAATAGTTGCGATCGTGGACAGTGCCTGTTCTTGTACAAAACGCTTGTCGCTCTGGAGCAATTGAAACAAGTGAGACAGGAGCTCGTCCAGGTAAGGTTCCAGTATGGATTTCTCTGCTTCCTCGCAGAAGTTGACAAGAGCTGCAGCCGCGTGAGATTTCACGCGAGCCTCTGGAGAGTTTAGGACAGGGATGATGGCTTTTAAGATCCGGTCGTAGAAGTCGGTCTGCATCTTGGGGGCAAAGTCGGTACTCATTTGGCCTAAAGCGTTGCAGCCAGCCCATCGCACACGAGGGTGCGGATCTTGAAGGGCTGGGATGACCAAGTCGAGGACTTGACTTAGCTCTCCAATCATGAGGTCGCGGCAGCCCTCAGAAATGGCAGAGATGGCCATGAGAGCGGCATGCCGATCTCTCCAAGCCATCGAAGTCATCATTCTCGGAAGCCAGTTGAATGTAGGGGCAAGAATCGTCTGCCCCCCCAGTTTGTTGGCGAGGCGGTCCATGGTTTGCTCTCCAGCAACATGATTCTGATCACTCTCATCCGCTTCGAGCTGTAACAATTGGTTAGCAATGGTAAACTGGGGTAGGTTAGTCTTCGCAATGTACTCACATCGTCGGACGCCAACCACTCGGTAGCATCGTCATCGTCCTCGCCAAGATCAGTCATCAGACTCAGGCATTGGGTGATCATATCTGTGGTGTAAGACGCATCCTTCCGGCACATCGACGGGGCATAGTCAGCAAAGGTAGCCATCAGCTCTAGCGCATTCTGTCGGCAAATCGTATCCAACTCTTTGTCTTGAACCACCGAAATGCTGAACTGAACCAGGTTGTGGAAGAGCGGCTTGAACATCTTGGGAGCTGTCTCAGCCAAGTCGATAAGGGCTACGAGAGCTTTGCTCAAGTCATCTGAGTCTTGGCTATCTTTGATGGGGGGCAGAATATTGAGCACATCAGGAATTAGAGCGTAGTATTTCGATTGCCCTTTCTTGCTGATCGTCCTGAAGAAGGATGCGAAAGCATCCATGGCCGCCAATCTGACCTAAGCATAAACACCATCAGTACGCTGTAGTGCATCATGGGAACCAAATATTGTACCTGAACTGCGTCGTCTTTGAACCCTCTCTGAAAAGCTTGCAGGACAGCTTCTTCGTGCTGTTTCTCGATGATTCCGGGAGTCGTAGCAAAAACCCTGTATGCTGTCTCGCGCTTTTCGGCCTCCATCGCCTGGCTTAGCTGGAACAGCGCTCCCAGGAGTTCCGGCCAGGAATCGTCTAAAGACAAGAAACGTTAGTGACGAAGAAGGGAGGAGGTAAACATAGCATGTGATGCGGGTGCTTGCTATGGAGGCTGACTGTTATCTGTGTATTGCCGCGCGACCTCAGCAACAGCGTCACTGATCTTGTTTCGGACAGCTCGATCGGTCTCGGAGCCGAGTGTTTCGAGCAGCTTCTGGCGAATGGCGATGGCTTGATCTTTGACTAGCGAATAGAACATGTCGACGTTGTTCCCAGAGTCCGTTTTCCTGGTTTTTGAAGAAATCCGTCTGAATATGACAGCCGCAAACGACCGGGTCTAGACAGAGAAGTCAGGGAGAGGCTCATGCTTCAGCAGTCAGAAAGCGACGGCTTCGACAGGACGAAAGCTTACTGCATTATCTCCACCAGCTTGTATTTGCTCTGCAAGTCCCATCAAGAGGACTTCTGGGCGCGAGCTCGTCCAGCTGTTTTGCAGGTGGTCCTCAGCCTGAGATCGAATGCCATTGTCGGAAGCCTGAAGCGCCTGCAAAAGCTGCGTGAGCTCTGCATGCACGTCGGGCGATAGGACGGACATGGTTGCGACGGCTAACGGACGAGAACGCCGCGCAGTACGCCAGCGAGTATGTTCGACAATCAGAGCAGGGAGAAGACGATTGAAGGCGGCTGAGTTGGCGGACAGGTCAAAAAATCTCGTCAGTATGGGAATCGAAGTGAGAAGAAGGTGGGGGAGGGGAAGGGTGTGTAGTACTTTTTTTGGGTGTGTGATAAAAAAAAATCCCAGAGCGCGATAGCGCTATCTAATCAGTCGAGGCCAGCGGCAGTGACTACATCTGCCCCAAGATAGGTACCAGGTACTGTGGTAGTAGGCACCAGTCCGACAGCCAGAGCTGAGCTTTGATAGTGCCGAGGTAGGGATACCTTACCGACCTATGACATCTACTACTACTTACTGGGGAGTAGCTACCTACCTACCTGCTACTACTAGTATATTCTCCCTTACCTGACAAAGTACGCTATCCAACGACCACTGCTGCTCCTCAATCTTGCCTCGCCTGTGCATGCAGCTTGGGAAATTCTTCGCTTCGTTCCATCGACTTACTCCTCTCCGCACGATTTTTTGATGACACATGATGGACAGCGACACAGCGGCAGCGGGATCCAGCATGTCTATCAACACCGAAGCGGACAGATCCGCCAGGCTATCTGAGCCGAAGGCGTCGCCATCACCACAGAGATCACCTTCGAGCTCCAGCATTAGCAAAGCTTCACACCGACAGAGCTTCACTGAGAATCTTCGCAATCCTCCAGCTTCGCCACGCCATCGACACCCTTCCCTTACCCAGGCCGCGATCCAAGATCTTCTCCTTCACCCAGCTTCCAGTAATAGGCACCAAAACTCCAAGTTTGTCGGTCGGGAATGGAGAGATATCACCATAGGAGAGCTCACTTCGCCTGACGACGTAAGATGGATTGACATTGGATCCAGCGTGGAGGAGGCGACTCTGGTAAGCTCAAGCCGATGGAGATTTTCACGGCACTTGTACCCATACTTACGTTGCACTACCAGATGCTTCTGCAAAGTCCAACCGGCGTTGTTCTTGTAAGAGAAGAAGCTCATGCCGCAGTGCCAGTCTTCTGCTTTGATTACAATGATCTGAACGCCTATCTGCTCACCGTCGTGGGAGTTTCTCGACCCGAGGGCGATCAAGCTGCGCTCTTTCATGACATCATGACGAAAGCTCAAGGAGGTGCGCATATCTCACTTCGGGAGATCCAGCCTTTGTGTTCCAGGGAAGCCATCGTCAAAATGAGCTCGGATGTGAACCTCTCTCAGGCGATAGAAACGCTTGGGAGCGGCATACACAGAGTCTTTGTTACCGACTCGACAGGGAACGTTGTTGGCATCGTAAGCCAGCTTCGCATGGTGGAATTCTTCTGGAATGAAGGTGTCAATTTTCCCGCCATTGACCGACTCAACCCTGTCACGCTGCAAGACCTAGGAATTGGCGTCCGGCCCGTTCTTTCAGTTCAGTGAGTAAAGCCAATACTGATAGCAAAGCAGTCATTGCCTCTCAGAAGCCTGAACTAACGAGCCCTCAGTTCCGACGCTCCTCTTACCGATGCCTTGTCTCTCATGTACGAAGAGGGCCTTTCAAGCGTAGCAATCGTAGACAGCGGACACAACGTGGTGGGTAACATCTCGACGAAGGACGTGCGACATTTGACAAGCTCCTCAAGTGCATATTTGCTCGGTAGTTCTTGTATGCACTTCATTTCTGTCATCCTTAACGAGAGAGGGGTAGAAAAGGGACAAGACGTCTATCCAGTCTTCTACGTGAACCCCTATTCGACATTGGCTCATACGATAGCCAAGCTGGTAGCGACGAAATCGCATCGAATGTGGATCGTGGAGTCAGCACCCCAGTCGTCACCTCTGTCAACACCCGCCACGCCGACGACCACTTCACAAACCTCCTTGTCCGGCGGGACGGTTCCGGCGCCTACAATGGCTGGCGCTCTCTTGTCGGGCAAGCTCATCGGGGTCGTCTCGTTGACAGATATTCTCAACATATTCGCCAAATCCACGGGACTGCATCCTTCCGAGCCGTGGGAACAGAGGGCACGCCGCCGACGCAGTTCGAGTAGTTCTGTCCGGCCTAGCGTAGAGTCGCTACGGTCCAGTGTGGAAACAAGGAGGTAAGATACAGTTGGTGCTCGAGTTGCTACGTGGAAAACCTGTGTGAGGCTATACTTGACACACAGTGACTACACTATCAAAGGCTTCCTTCCATGTAATCTATGCGTCGTAAAGTCTGGACATTCAGAGCAAGAAATGAAATACAGCAGTATATCAAATAGTGTTGAACATGTATTGCGTAAGTACCTAAGACAAGAGCACGCGGATCTCGGCCGATGTCCTTGAGAGACTCAAGCTTCCATCTGAATTAGAAGCATCCTCGCCATTCTTCTGGTTTGCAAGGAATTCCTCCAGCCTCTCGAAATCAGTACAGAACCTCTCAGCTGCTTGTTCTATGATTTCTCGGGCCATCTCCGCATCCTGTAGCCCCTTCAATCTATCCATTGCATCCATCAACGCGGAAGGGAGGAAGTCGTCCAACTCTTGACTTGCTCGACTAACGGACGCCTGGCTCACGTCAACCTGTTCACCATCATCCAGATTCTTCAGCAGGGTATCCAGGCCCGATTTCCGGCGGAAGACAGCATGCTGATCATCGATCAGTTTCAGAGCGTCTTGTGCAATGTCGTCTCGAATTTGAGTAGCTCGAAAAATCGTGCTTTCAAAGCTGCCAAGACAATGAGCTGCGGCAAGTTTGCAATTGACGAGAAAGATTCCTCCTTCAGGATATGTCATGGGTTTCGCTATCTCCTCACACCCAGACATGAATGGATCAAAAGCTTCTGACAGTATTCCCTGAATCTCGCTTCCAGAGTCTTCTGAAGCAGACAGAGAGGATTCGTAAATCTGGAGGATGGCACCCAGCTGCTTGAAAGCATCCTGGAGAAATCGGGGAGGCTCCAAGTTCGAAGGGACTTGCTGGAACTCTGCTTGGATGGATAAGATGTTATCCCTGACAAGAGATCGAAATTGACGCTTTGCCACTTTCTCCAAACCTCCCGTGCATTCTTCTAAGCTAGACCCCACGCCTAAAAGCTTCTCAAAGGTCGCCCGATAGAAGCTGAGGAGCGTTGAGATCTTATAGGCAGGGATGACGTCTTCGTTGGACTGGATGGCCTGCTCGACACGTTGACGTAGTATCCGAACAACAGGTAGGAAGTTACGGTCCATGAGTTGTCCGACGACCTCTCGAACCCTGAAATCACTGCCTTCGAGTCCCTCGTCCACGGGAAGATTCCAACGCGCTGCATTTGGACTTGATGTTGATGCATAAAGCGTCTCGTCTCTGCCACCAGCAAACAGAGTTTCAAGCGCTTCCCGCTCGCCCACAGTGGCAGAATGGACCCAGGCAAACATGTCGCCTACATAACGGAGAGGATCGTGTGCTGTCAAATCGATTGGCCTGATCGAGGCGTCTTCAGTGCCTTGTGGTGTAACACCGGTGAGGGCGCAGTGAAAGGCTTCGGATAGAGACCGTTCTCTGGATGCTGCAAACAAGTCTAGACAATTCTGAAAAAGAGAGGGCCGCTCCGCAAGGACCCGTAAAGCTTGTCGCATAGAGGGATTGACGTGAGGATTTTCTAGGTTTAAAGTTTTGAATTCCTGTTGCACCCATTTGTAAAGCTTTTGGAAAGCCATGTTTACATGTACGGATGTCCTTTCGATCAATTCCAGGCCAAGGGTCTGGCTTTCAAAGCCTAGAAGTATGTCACAACCAAGAGTAATTCGTTTAGCTTTCTGGAGACTAGAGAAGAACGAATTGTCAACCGGTATCATAGTTGAAGTTAGCGACTCGATCTCGTCGTCCGTCATGACGAAATAGCTCTCAATGGCACCAAGAATCTCTTGCTTTCTCTCTATAGCCAATCGTTGCTCGAAAAGTGATGCCATCCCTCGGAGAGCCGGCGTTGTTTGGTCATGGGCCGAGTCGATTTGACGCTTCATGTCTTGAATCCGGGAATTCAATCTTTCAACTACTCCTCGAACAAGTTTTAGTCGCTGCCTGTGCCATTAGTAACTGATTGGATAGAGTGGGCAGAGCTCACACAAACCTCCGCGACCAAGCCCATTTCTCCAACAATTTCGCCATTGCAGCCAATTGCTTCTCCTAGGAGGTCCAGTCGAAGTTGGCGCCTGTTCTTGCCATTGCTTCCCACAGACCGTTGATCGGCGAGGAGGATGGCATCGCGAAAATCGTTATCGGAGTAGGATGTAGAAAGTACCGATGCAACTTTCAGGACTATTAGGTCGGATCCCTTGGCACTGGACACATTTGAGTGGCTAGGGGAGAAGCCATTATGTTGGTGAATGTTGTTCGTGGAAGCCATAGGGAAAATGCAATGTGGTTTGAGATAGGGAACCTAGATGCTATAGTAGTAAGGTAGTTTAAAGTAGCTTGTTATAATAAGCTACCCTAGATAGTTTAAAAATATACTTAGTTAAGGCTCTATATATATATACTACTACTCTATAAGTATTATATTAATAAAATTACTCCTCTTAATAATATATTATACTATATATATTAAAGTAAAGTTAAGAATATTAATAATTTTCTTCTTTAATTAATAATAGCTTTTTATATTTTAATATTATAATATAATAATTTAATTAAAAAGTATTTATAAAGTAATTTTATTTATATTAATAAATTTAATTACTTATTAATAATATATTATTATAATAATATTAATAATAATATTTATTATTATATATATATAATAAAAAGAGAGATTTTAATTAAGTAAGCAGTAGTAATAATAAGTAATATTATTTAAACTAAAGCTTAAAAAGCTTTAAAAAAAAAGGCATTATATACTATACTTATATAAAGAATTTAGTTTTATTTCTTTAAGGCCTTAAACTTTAAATATATAAACTAATTAAAGTATAAGACCCTGCTAGTTATACTTTAATATATTTATTACTTAAATAAAAAGGAGGATAAGGCTAATAATATAAAGCTATAATTAATATTTACTTTTATTATAATTATCCTTCTTTTTTTTTATAACTTATTTTAATTATTTCTTTTCCTTTTTATTATTATATTAATAATACTTTAAAAAAAAGAGTGCTATATATACCTTTTAGTTTTTTTTTAAAAGTAAAGGTTTAAGTATTAGCTTATAATATTTATATAATAGTATTAATTATAGTATTTACTTTTTTTTTATACTTATTTAATTAAATTTTAATTAATATTTTAAAGTATTAATAATAAAGAAAAAAAAGCTATTATATTATTACTTTTTATTACTTTTCTTTTTCTTTTTTTTTATTAAAGTATATACTTAAGTTTTACTTTTTATTTTCTTTTTTTAGTTTTTAACTTTTTAAAGTTTTTTTATTTTTTTTATAGCTAAAAGAAAGAAAATAAAGCTTTAATAATTAGCTAATATAATAAAGAAAAGTCTTTTTTTATATATATTATAAGTTATTATTAATATATATATTACTTTTAATTTAATATAATAATTAATATAATAAAAAAGAAAAATAACCTTAAGCTTATTTTTTTTTTAATATAAACTATAAGTTTTTTAATAATAGCTTTTTTTATTATATTACTTATATAGCTAAAAGTAATTATTATTCTTTATATATTCTTCTTTTTCTTTTTAAAGGTTTAGTTATTTATTAATAGCTTTTAGTCTTTTTATACTTTTTAATAATATTATAATATTATTAAACTATTAGCTTTACTTTTTAAAAAAGTAATACTTAATAATTAATAATAATTTTTATATATTACTTAAAGTAAATAATAATTAGCTAATACTTTTCTCTTAAGTATTTAAGTAAAGGCTTATTAATATCTTTATTAATTTATATTTAGTACTAAATTACTTTAAATAAATATATTATATTAAGTATAGCTTATTTTATTTTTATTATAAAGGCATTATTATATTAATAAGCTATACTTAGCTTATTATAGCTTAATAAAAGCTTATTTTATAAAAGCCTTTTTATATATATATATATATATATTATTTAAAATATAATTCTTATTTAATTATAAAAAGATATATTAACTTTTCTAGTTTAATACTATATTAAAAAAGTAAGTAATAAAATAGCTAGCTTTAAAAATAATTATATAAAAAAAATATTATTAATATTTTATCTTTTTTTTTAAAAAACTATAAGTATATTATATAATATATTACTTTAATAATAGCTTATTAAAGTATTATAAAAGAATTATATATAAAAACTAATTATAATTTAAAGTAGTTATATTAATAAGTTAAAAAGGTTTTATATAAGTATAAGTAAATATAAAAGTATAATAAAAGTAAAAAAGTTAATAATAAATAAAAAAAAGGTTTTTTTTTATTATTTTTAAGTCTTTAAGTAATGCTTTTTTATTAAATATTATAATAATCCTTTTATTTATAAGAATATTAAATATTATAATAATCCTTTTATTTATAAGAATATTAAATATTATAATAATCCTCTTATTTATTAAAATATTAATTACTATAGCTTATAAGTTATAAAAGTTATAAAGGCTATTATAGCTTAGCTAAGGTTAAGTTAAGTTTTTATTCAAGCTATAAATTTTATATATTTTAGCCTTAAGGTTTTTATAAATTTAATAAATAAAAATAAAAAAAACTTTTATAAATAAAAAAGAATTCTTTTTATTTTTTATATTATTTAAAAGTAAATATATTAGCTTTTATTTTTATAGCTTTTAATAAAAGTATTTATTAATTTTATAAATTTAATTAAAAACTACTTTTTTTTATAAAGATATTATTAAAGGCTATACTTTTTTATAATAAAAGCTGCTTTTTTATAAAAATATTATTAAAAGCTATACTTTTTTATAATAGCTTAATTTTATATAAACTTTTACTTTTTTTTTAACTTTTATTTTTACTTTTTTTTTTTATTACTTAAGTAAAAAAATTTAAAAAGATTTTTTCTAATATTATACTGCTTTTTTTATAATAGCTTTATTAATTTTTAAGCTTTTACCTCTCTTTTAGCTTTTATCTTAGCCTTCTTTTTTTATTATTACTTAAGTAAAGAGATTTAAGAAGATTTCTTTTAATATTATATTATTCTTTTTATAATAGCTTTATTAATTCTTAAGCTTTTATCTCTTTTTTAATCTTTATCTTAGTCTTTTTTTTTTTTATTACTTAAATAAGGAGATTTAAAAAGACTAGGTTTTTTTATTTAAGCTTATTATTAAAGGCATTTATAAGTAATATTAAGAAATAAAGAGAATTTAAATTATAAAGAGGTTTTAATAAAGTATAACTTTAATTATATTAACTAGGTTATAACTTTATATTAAATATAAAAGAAATTCTAAATATAAAAGTTAAAGGTTAATTATATTTATTTTTAAACTTTTTATAAAAGTATAAGTTATTTACTTTTTTATACTTATAAATATATTATAAAGCTATAATCCTTTTAAGCTAAAGCTATAAGCCTTTAATAATAAGATTATATTAAACTTATTTAATATTTATAACTCTTTTATATTAAGGTTTATAAAACTTACTTTATTTTTATTTTTTAATTTTATTTTCTTTTTTAACCTTAAGCTTAAGTTTTTTTTCTTTATAATTTTAAAAAATATAAAAGGTATTTATTAAGTTATTTTAAGCTATTTATTAATTATATTTTATAAGCTATTTTATTTACTTTATAAAGTAATAATATTTCTTTTTAATTATTATATAGTTTTTATTTTTTTTACTTTTTTATTTCTTTTTTTAAGTTATTTAAGTTAAGTATTATTAAAGGTTTATTTTAGCTTTTTTTATAAACTTTTTATAATTTAAAAAGGCTAATATAAAGGATATTATAAATATAAATATATTTTTTTAATAAAGCTAGCTTATAAGCTTATATTCTTACTTTTTAAATAACTTTAAATAGCTTAATAAATCTAAATATAAGCTTTTTCTTTTTTTTTTTTATAATAAGGTTTTTAATTAAAAGTCTTATTTAGTTTTTAATATTAAAAAAAAGAAGTCTATATTATTTATTATAATAAATTATCTGCCTTTTTATTATAATTTATTATTAAAGCTTAAAGTATTAATATAGCTTTTTTTACTTTTTTAATTATTATTAAATATTTAAGATTTTCTTTTTTTTATATTATTCTTAATATAAATTTTCTTAATATAAAAGTTAAGTTTATATTTATTAAAGGCTATAAATAAAAAAGTGCTTATTATTATATTTTTAATAATATTAAAGTAAAATTATATAAATAAAAAAAACTAAGCTATATTACTTACTTTTTATTAATAAAATAATATAAATAATATTTAATAACTTAATTTATTCTTTTTATTTACTTATTAATTTAAAAGTAAAATATTATTAAAAGCCTTTATTTAATTTTTAAAATATAATAAAGTTTTAATTAAAATTTATTTATAAAAACTAGTCTTTTATTATTTATAATTCTTTTTATTAAGTTATATATTAATTTAATCTTTTAATAATATAATTTTATAAGCTTTATAATAATTATTATTATATTAATAAAAAAGTATTTTAAATACTTTATAAAATAATTTATAATTATTAAAATTATATTTATCTTTTTACTTTTATATATTATAAATAGTAATTTTATAATAAAGTTTATTATAAATTCCTTTTATAACTTTAAAAGTATTAATAAGGATTTTAAGTACTTATATAGCTTATACCTTTAAGCTATATTACTTTAATATTAAGTATAAGTTTAAATATAATATTTAATATTTTAACTTATTTACTTTTAAAAAAACTTTTTTTAAATAAGCTTAAGTATATAGCTTTTTTTAAAATAGCTTATTAAAGAATTATTATAATATAAATTAATAATTTTATTATAAAAATTATTATTATTTAAAATATAAATATAATTCTTATAATAAAAAAGACTTTTATTATTTACTAATTATATATTAAGGCTTTAATAAGT